TTTAAAAAAAAAAAAAAAAAAAAAAAAAAAAAAAACTGGTAGTAACATCGTCACGATACGTTCATAACAAACACTCCAACAGCTCTTTATCCATGTGTACCTTCTTTGGCCTGGATGTACATGTAGCACTCTGAAATAGTCAATTATATTAAGATTATTCATTATTTCAATAACTTTTTTTGCCCTGATTTAGGATATAATATAATATAATATAATATAATATAATATAATATAATATAATATAATATAATATAATATAATATAATATAATATAATAATTGAAGTAAATATTTGAATTAAGTACCGGGTGTAAAACATGATTAAAACCTCCACAGATAACAAAATATTCTTTATTAACGCTCAGATAGAAATCCCTTTTTGTGCGGCGTCTGTGCGAAGGCAGACGGTGACCGCAAGGAATTGTATGGATTCACGGCCTCCGTAGCCTGTACGTATTGTACAGCAAAAACTTTTGACAAACTTTGAAAATCGCAACCCCGTAGGCCGTGCGATATCGTAGATAACATCGCACAGTTCCCGCACGGGCATCGTTCGGTGGACTTGATTATGGTCGAACCAGTTTCATTCCCTTCCAATATTGGTACGTGGTTTTAGGAGACATAACATCATTAAACGACGGGAAAATGGCTTTGCGAACTGTGCAAGTTGAAGAGGTGGGAGGTAAGATAGAGTTTGAGAGCTTCCGCATCACGTTCGGCCGTCACGGTGGATGCGCAAACTGGTTTTTTACAAACTTTTGGGGCCTTTAGCATAACTGAACGTAAATAAGAATGCATATCTTTTACGCATGAATTTCGTGCTTATGTAAGAGGCCCATATACATTGCCGCTTGCCAAACCCATATTCCGAATACAAACAAGATTACAACAAGGCAAAATGTTATTATACATGTATAATACATGTATGTATTTACCACGTTTATTCATAAAAATAAGAATTAAACGTGTTAATTTGACTTTCGTACTCTGCTCGGACTGCTGATGGGCCAACGACAGTCATTCCGTTAGGCCAACGTTGGCATCAATGGTTGCCATCCTTAGCCACGAGTTACCTGCAAAGGATTGTAACGTGCCCAAGGTACGATCAAATTAAAAATACCCTGGGATAGATGAAAATCAAAGATATAAAACCTCAATCTTTATTCAACGGAAAACTCAACTTTAAATAAAGTAAAACAATGGTTCAAAACAGAGTCTCTGTTTTACCATGGAATCAAGCCTTCAGCTTTGAATTATACGCAAATAGAATAGTGATCCGATCTATTACGGTAAAACGAAAAGTACTATTCAACGTAGACCACTTTTTACTTAGGGGCCATTCAGAATGAGAAGAGCCAAATGTTAGCTGGTTCACGGCCTAAATATGGCGGACCTACATGCAAGGAAGACCGCTTAGTCCTTGAATGGTCTTTCAACCTCTTTTACGCCTCCCACGGAATTTCAGCAGATCAACTTTGGCGTGAAGGGGGCCAAAGTGATAGCTATCGGAAAATTTAACAAAAAATACATAACAAGAATGGTCCGTGAAAAGTGCACAGCAATGCGGTGGGTTTCAATGACAGACGCAGGTGATGGCTATATGCCCAGACAGACAGTCTGTCCATAAAGAGCCAACAACGGAAAAATAATGAAAAATCTTTATTTTTTTACAGTATGAGTGATGTTGAACAATCGCAGGAATTTTACACAAAAATAAATGGTGCAAATCCTGCTGTAACAGATATACAAGTGTGTAAAGTTAAGAAGTATACTTTTTTCTCTTTAAATAAACATGAAGAGCATTTGGCCTCCGATTTACAGTGTCAAGCACAAAAAAAGGCATTGCAGAATCTATACACGCCTCTTTGTCACTGTCTAATGTTTATTGCTACCTTCATGCATTTTCCCTTTATCAAAGGCAGCACCTTTATAAATCTTTCAAATGAAAAGTTAATGAAACAACGAATTATCATTTGGACAGTAAACGGCAATTATGACAAAACCATTTCCCCGTTTGTGTTGTTTCTTAGCGTTTGTAATTGCGTATCAAACTTAAAAAGCATTTGCAATCATGTGTTTTCAGTTATTGCATGTTCCAAGACTAGAGGATAGATAACCTTCATAGCTCACACAATTTAATTACATTTTGGCATATCAGTGTAATTTATACCAAAAGACAGTGAAATGTTATGACACGTTCATATTTGGCATTGTATCCTAATTTTTCCATTGCATAAAAATGAATAAAGAAACTAATTCTTTTGTTCCAAATGTTCCTCCCCTCTCCTATCATTTTAATGTAATTTAGTTCTTTGTCAAAAATTCCAAAGCAATGATGATCTCTATCCCTTTTCTCTGTCTATATCCATCTTTGTATATAGTCCACTTTATCTGGCTTAAGATTTTCAAAGATTAAGCCAGACATTAACGCTGAAAGAGTAGAAGGGTGGGTTGCTGTAAGTCTTTCCTTACATAGCATACTTTTTAGTCCACTCTCTTGCTAAATCATTGTACTTTGTTCGGTTAGTCTTGTAAAGCCGTGCTATTTCTGGTACTAGGGGATCATCTGGGTTAGGATCTGTGAGAAGTGAACAAATGGACAGCAACACTGAAATTAAGCAAAGTAGAGAAGTATTGGAGGCACTAAATATTTTGGAATTGCTTCACTGTCATCATTATACATACTTTTTTATATTGTTTGTGTATAGAGCCACTAAATATTTTATAATTTCTTCATTGTCATTTTTTTTTACACCTTTTGATACTGTTAATATAAAGAGCCAATAAATATTTTATAATTTCTTCTAGTTGTCTTTTTACACACCTTTTGATACTGTTAATGTAAAGAAGCAATAAATATATAGGAAATTTTTTGTCATCTTTTCACTCACCTTTTGATATTGTTAATGCTGGTGACCACTGTGATCGAAGTATATCTAAACAGATGCTACCATTACTGTTTATGTTGGGGTGATATATTTTTGTTGTAAAAGCAACCTAAGATTGAGAATGAAAGAAAATTTGTGAAAAGTACAATTTTATGAAAACACAAATGTAAGATAATGAATTAAAATAAAAGAACTGATACTAATAATTTATATACATTACAGGACGTTTATTCTCTTTTCTTATGTATCTTTAAGGACTTTTTAAGTTGTCCAGATTGTTCCAAAGTTATGGTGACTGTCAGGACAGGAGGAATGAAGAATGGACAGTAGGAGAAAAATACTATTTACTTCAGGAAAATTTTGTTAAGTATGTTTTTCACGAGAAAATCTTACACTTTAAGCAATGTAGAACTGAAGAAAAATACACTTTGAAAAATACACTGACGAAATCTTACCTTTGGTGGTTTGAATGGATAATCTGTAGGAAAGTGAATACTTAAGAAGAAAACCCCTCCTGAATATGCACTTTCGGACTGAAATATTATCATGACAGCCATTGAACATTTATGTATGCATTTTATGATGTATTGTACATAAGAAATCAATCAATGTTGTTAGCAAAATTATATCAATTTGGTTGTATAATAGTCAAAGCATAAAACAATGAAAAATACTGATAGACTCCACTTTTATAACAATATTCCAAGCAACAAATAATCTATATATAAAGAAATCTTTATCATTACTTTATACTTACAGGTCCCAATATAGTTGCCTGCCAGTGAAATACTGAAAGATAAAAATTTAAAACACGAGTTCAAGTCTCAGTAATAATAATAATACATCACTGCTCTGCGTATTCAAGTAGAACAAAAATTGATGCTTGTCATTCACTGAAGACAACAATGGAACAATGGCCAGTTTTGCAAATCAATGTGCCATTTGCAAGCATGACAAATATTTTCAAAATTTCTTCAAATCTATTTTCAAGCATATTTTGGGGGAAATGATATGATAAATGTACAGTACTTGGTTTAAATTTTCCACTCGAATGGTGTAGGAAGAGTTATCAGAAATTACAATATGAAAAGAATTTAGAATCATCCAACTCTACCCCCAGGTGAACTTAAATTCTGAAGTGTCCATGCACATCCCTGATTATAGGTCTAATGATTCCCGAAGTTTCAACTTCCTAATGTTCTAGGAGGAAATAGAGGAAATTGCTAACACACAGACCGACCAAGAGACAGACAGAGAATGGACGATCTTTTGTCACAAAAGTGCTGGGATTCAAAGTGTCCTTCAACCACTTACAGTCATCCCCTACTGGTCCTGCAGAGCACTGTGCTGGTGGATCACGTCCCAAATCTTGTAATTCCTGAAAAATAACAAAAAGCACCTGAATGCACTCTTAATATAATGAGTAATTTTGTGTCATCATCAGAAATCAGGTGGATGACTGATAAGTAGGTCAGTGCTGAGGTCATTACACTCACAAAATGGTATGTGTGACTAAGTGGGAAAATCATATTCAGCACAACTGACATTTGGTTGTGAAACTAGCTGCTTGCACGGCAAGTTATTTTTAGATTCATAATAGGAAATAATTTTTAGATTCATAAATATTTTCCAAATATGTTCTGAAATATAACTTTTCTAACCAAACCCAAAATTTGCTACTGTATCTAGATCTATTTTGGGAAACATCAATTTTGGCAAGACACGCATGCCATTGATTTTTTTCTTTCTTTTTCTTTTTTTTTTTTTTTTTTCAATATTGACCCTTCGAAAAAGAAACTGAGCAGTAACCTGAGAAGGAAAGGGGTACCCCGGTGTCTTTCTTTCCCTTAAAAACATAACACACAACGACCATAAGCTATTCTCAAATATCACTTAAGTCATTTATGCTTACAATATCCCGGTGATTGTTGTAGACATACCTATTTGAATAAAAATGACAATGACAGTAGCATCGTAGATAAATGATGTACTAATATGACTAACCTATGGAATGAATGGAAAAATCACTTACCATACTACCAAATCTATCTCAGATTGTATATTTGACATTTTGATACACTTATTGAATAATCACGTTTAACAATTTACCTTATTGATTCGTTTCATTGCCATATTTTCTATCTGTGTGGCAAAATATTATAGAAACCTCAGCTTTTCTCTGTTCAATTCCGCATAGGGAAAGTAGATATATGCGCATGCGTAACCCACCCGTGGTTCTTTTTACCAGAGGTAGTATGGCGGGGTCGGACCACAAGTTTAGGCCAAATGAAAGGATGAATACCATTGGGCACTTTTTCCGCTAGACGTCATGGCTGCTTACACTATTTTTAACGCGCGATATTTTTCACTAGAATAAGATGGGATGTAGATATTCACAGATGTGTCTCTAACTAATGTGCGGCACGATGTTTCAGAAGCTTATATAGTCGTCTTTCGTAGAGACTACGCAAAGCGGTGTTATAAATTTGTACATATTATTACTAGCTGATGCATATCTGAAGATCTACTTTACAGTTGTCAAATTTAATCCAAGCTTTCGGCCCCTGGACCTTCTTCGGGCAGGCCTGTAGCAGGGGGGTAGTTCGGGGGATTCGAAAGAACCGCCCCTTTTGTTGGGAAAAGGTCCCCTCTGGGTAAAATTTGATCTAGGTACATATATTATGTTTTTTATAGAAAAAGGTCCACTTTTTCAGAGAACGAACCCCCCTTTTGGAATTGCTGGCTACGGGCCTGTCGAGGATTATGAACAAAAAGTGAAAAAAGCACGTATCCTAGACGTGATGTCGGTGATGTGTTTTAGACCGACGTCACGTATCCTAGGAGTTTTTTTTTTTTTTCTCACTTTTTGTTCATAATCCCCGAGGAAGGCCCAGGGGCCGAAAGCTTGGATTATATTTGACAACTGTAAAGTAGATCTTCAGAGATTCATCAGTAATAATACCTACTTATATTTTCCTTAAGTTGATCACGTCAGTTAGTAGAGTGACCGTATCCAATTTAATAGTGCTAAGAATGCGGTGAATTAACATGCATGAATCCTATAAATTTGTACAGCACGTAGGGCCTATGAATTGAGTTTTGAGTAGGCCTACAGCGTGAACAATTGTCGTAGACTAGTCGACTGACTATTGTGCGTTTTTTTTCTAAAGACGTTTTCTCTGGTTTTAGGTTCACTTAACCTACCAAGGAGACAGCCGAACATGGGTTTCCATTTTCTTTCAACCTGTCTCAGTACCGCGGCAGTCTTTTCCTACGTCTTCCCTTTATAGTAACATAAAGCAGATTAGGATTTTAGGCTGTATACTAGTAGGGGAGACCGGGGCTAGTTGGACCCCAGGGTAATTAAGTTGGCTCCCATCAATTTATGAAAAAGTAACTTAAGGGTTATAAAATAATTGATCACATCAGTTAGTAAAGTGCTAAGAAAGCGTTGATCGTACAGAAGTTTTATTTAGGCAGTGAGTCCAAATGAAAGAATTTAGCATCCTAAATTAACTTTATTAAAGAGACTAAATCTATTTTCATAAGCTTTTGATCGAATATAGTATACCTATAGCGCATCAAATTGAAGTTCATTGTTTCAAGTTTTACAGAAATGTATCACCGTTGCTCATTCTCGCACCATAAATGGCTGCAATCCTTAAAAATAAATTTAAAAAATGTGCACCCGGGGCTAGTTGGCCCCCTTGACTCGGGGCAAGTTGGACCCTCATATAGACTACAATCCTTTGACAAACCCAAGCTACAGACCATTGTTGGAACAAACTCAATGGTTTGTTAAATAATTAGCAGTTTAAAACTGAATTTGTTAGTTTTTTTTAAAAAGAAAATTTATTATTCGTTTTCATTCATTAAAACCCTGCTTTATACTATTATTAATTTATTCTTAATTAAAACATGTTTTATTAATGGATAGGCCTATTTTGGTTCTTGTAACACATATGTATAGTGTGACGTACAGAAACCTCAATAAATCTGCCTCATTTGAACCATTTATTCATCAAAGACTCAAAAATCAATTTAACAAATTAAAAATGTGTAAAAATGTATTTCAAGGGGTTTACATGGGGTACTTACTTCATTTTCGTATAGGGTGCCAACTTGCCCCAACCCTGGGGCCAACTTGCCCCGTGGCGTACACGTAGATGTAAAATTAAGGCAGCCGTGTTTTATTATTATTATTATTACCTCCGCCAAGGAGGTTATGTTTTCACCCCTGTTTGTTTGTTTGTCTGTCTGTCTTTCTGTCTGTCTGTCATCAACATAACTCAAAAAGTTATGGATTGATTTTGATAAAATTTTCAGGAACTATCAGAAGTGGACCAATGGAACAGATGATTAGATTTTGGTGGTGATCCGGATCAATAATCAATAATGATCAAAAATTGCTGTCTTGGCAGAGGTCTGCGCTCTTTCCTTGTTATTATTAGGCTATTATTTATTTATTTATTATTATCATTATTATTATTATTATTATTATTATTATTATTATTATTATAAACAGTGTATTTATTTGATTAGTTATTTTGTTTAAACTGTTTTATTCATTGTAACATGTAGACTCTCTCTTTTGTAACTGACCAGAGCGGTCGTGCAAATACTGTAACTTCATTCTCTATTTCTACAGGTGAAATAAATAACCTAAAATCTATTACACAGTTGTGTGTTTTCAAACAATAAAAACAAACTGTGACATTTGCATACACATATTTGCTTTTAAAAATTGAATGCAACTTCAAATTCATTTAATTTTTTTAGACTTGTGGCATTTCAGCTTTGCCATTGAGTTTGAGCAAGAGTTGTAATAGAGACCCATAAAGACCCAGGAATTAATGCGGCAGAATTCACTCTTTGTATGATTTTCCCATATAGTATTGTCATTGGTTGGAGTTCATGATCGGATTGTGAGAAATCGAGGCCAAGTCCCTTTATTTTCTTGTAGTTCATGGATATGTCGTTTCCTTGTGACCAGAGGAAGGCTTGTCATAACTTATGGTCGCACCCAATATAATGTCTCCGGCTAACCGTAACCTGGCTGCATTGACGCATGCGCGTGAGCTTTTTTCCTAACACGGATGTGATAAACCTAAAACAGTTGAGCTCTCTCAGATAAAGAATATGGCACTGAAACGAATCAATAAGGTAAATTTACGTGGGTGATGTATTAACTCGTGTCAAAATATCGAAAACATTTGTGTACGTTCGTAGGTTAAAGGGGGGTACTTTTCAGACCAATCTACATTATTACATCTACAGTCTACTGATGTACATGTAGATCAACATGGTCAAGAGGAAACTTTGGGGACACGATTTTATTACATTTGATATTGACGTCCTGTCGCTGTTTATTAAGTTTCCAAACGGACAGAAAGGCGTCAGCCACGCCCCATACGCACTTTGAGCCGAGCAATTTTGATAAAATCTTACTAGTTGAGTCTAAATTATGACCATGTTCATCAGAAATCAAACAGCAATTTAAGATTAGTGCTTCTGGAGATTCATGCTTGCTGTCAGTGAATTTTTTATGTGAACAATGTACTCTTATGCTTTTAGTTTCTTATTTTCATAGTAAACTGTTATACTTTTACTCTATTTGAATTTACAACATAAAGGCCTGGTCATACTTAATTGTGTAATGGAGTGCAATACACCAGAGAAAATGACTCCTTACTTGAGTAAACACAGGAAACTTCCCTTCGTAAGAAAAAGCCTAAGGGTGATATAAAAGCAAATATATATTGCTAGGTTATTAATATTTTTGATCCAGCTAAACAAATCATTACAATTTGATTATGAATTGGGTCATACACCATATCAAAACTCAAGAAGAGATGTACACTTGTGGTGTCTACCATTTAGGCTTGTAATAAACACCCTCAAAAGCAAACAAAAAATGGACTTCTGAATGCGTGAGGTAGGTCAAATAACAGGCCTGTAACCAGGGGGGTTAGGGGTGTTAGAAAGAACTACCCTTTTTTTGTCAGGAAAAGGTCCATTCTGGGTAAAATTTGATATAGGTACACAAAGGTTTCATTGTAAAAGGTCCACTTTTTCAGAAAAAGACCCCTCCCCCCCCTCCTTTTGAAATTGCTGGCTTTGGGCCGATTAATGATGGAATATTTTCCCTTCCAGGAAGAACCTACTAAGAAAAACCCTGTGTAATAGAAATTGCATGGCCAATGTGATTATGTGAGATTTTTTCAGGGCGGAAAACTATTTCTAACATTTCTCACATTAATAGTCTGGATAGCCTATGTATGATTTCAGTGCAGCCTAAAGCCTAGGTCCGAACTACATTTTGGACGCACGGTTTTTAGGTTCCTTGCGTCCGGCTAGGACGTAGCTAGATCGCAGGGAAGAAATCAAGTAATTGATGAAAAGTATCTACGTGCTGTTTGCGTCCTCTAAAAGTCGCATGATGGACGTGCTCCTCACGCAGGAACTCCCACGTTTTCCTCATTTTTTGGCCGTAGATCACACGTAGCAGCTCGTGCGTTTGGTTGGGACCTAGGCTTAACTGGTAGACAAGCAAATGAATCTTGTCAAAGACCCCATTCCCAGAGATTAGATTGATCCAAACTAGATCGACCTAATTCCCTGGGGGTTCACGCTAAATAGCTGTCAGCGGAGCGGGCACAAAAGTTAATTACCCCCTTACAGCTTGTAGTAGGCGGGACGGACATTTAAGTCGGATTATCTGACAGTAATCTAGTGAGACTCCCCACGGGGATAGATCGATCTAAAATCTATGGGAATACGCCCTTACACATCGTTCTGTCGCAGTGAGATTGTTATCATCTGGGCTTTTCAAATGCTAGAAACTTATTGTTTTCTTTGATATGACTATCCAGTGGTCAGGGGCTTTCCCAGGATTTGGACTACATGTGGTCCAAAATCTTAATCTGTAATTTGGTCACTCATTTACAAGGAGTCCAACTACAAATATACCATCATTACCTAGATTTTATTTATGATATTTTATGTAGTATTATTTATGATATTTTATGTAAAGTCTACTGAACATTTTAAATGGATTTTAGACTTAAAATAAATTTATTATTATTATTATTATTATTAATTTCATAAGCTGTGTAGCCGTCTTTTGAAAATATAGGCAGTCTTTTGAGGCTATTGGCCATCCAAATAACAGTTGAACGGCTCTCTGGGAAAAGCCTTGCCAGTGGTTAAAAATGGCTGCTATCCTCAGAATATCTGTCCAGATGACGGTGGCATCTATAGGATAGCGCTGTCCGGTGATGATGAAACTAGACCAACTAAAAGTGATACTGAGTTGATACAAAAAGTGATACTTGTTGTAGCATATCACTTACTAACTGCATAGTAATTAGAATAGTTTTGGTCATTTGAAAATGGCAATGATCAATTAATTTTAGATTTCATACAAGTATTTATGTTTGAGTCTAGCTTGGGCCAGTAGTTGTTAAGATTAGGTCAAGCTTGGAGCCATTACAACACTAGTTGGTACACTCTACTAAGCAGCTATATCCTCTGACGGTGTGCTCGTTTGTAAAGGGGTAGAAGATATAAGAGAAGACAGTTTGATCATTACAAATCCCACAGAGGTCCTCTATCCAATTTTGTAACATCTAGAAAGGCTTACTGTCCATTTGTTAATGTGATAACCTTAGCACTGACCTACTTATCAGACATCCACCTGATCTCAGATGATGACACAGAATTACTCATTGTATTAACCGTGTAATCAGATACATATGGTATTTTTGTTATTTTTCAGGAATTACAAGATTTGGGACGCGATCCACCTGCACAGTGCTCTGCAGGACCAGTGGGGGATGACTGTAAGTGGTTGAAGGACACACTGCTTGTTTTGTATGGGGAGAGGGGTATCGAGAATTGTTTTACTCTTGTTAACAAAAACTGAAAACATACATCAAATTATGCTAAAATGAAACCTGCTGATTTGTAGTTTTAAAGATTATTGTAGCAACAGTGTGAGCTATGGCGGTACTGCACACATGGTTTTAGACCTGACCCGTCTTGTACGCTGCCCCTGCTGTCTGTTGTCTGATACATGTCACCATAACCACATCTTTTTCAAAGACTACTAGGACCTGGCTGTGTCTTCATCTCTTGGAATAATGTCAACTTGACCCCCAATAAATTACACCTGTAAAGTTCAAAGCATTGTGTACATTAAGATGAATTGCAAATGACATGTTTTTCTCTAATATCCATAACAATTATTGAAAAGTTGGTTGAAATGTTTCATATCATTTTATTTTCAGTATTTCACTGGCAGGCAACTATTATGGGACCTGTAAGTATATCTCAGTCACAAGAACGTTTTCGAATCTGCAAATATTATCCAAGTTAATCGGTTTTGAATAATATTATCCTTTTTTGTTGATGAAAATAATTTACAAGCCAGTTATAATTAACAGTAACAACAGACATTTTTGTTGATATAACTACATGCTTTAAATGCCTGTCATGACAATATTTCAGGGTGATAGTCCATATCAAGGAGGGGTATTTTTCTTAACTATCCACTTTCCTACAGATTATCCATTCAAACCACCAAAGGTAAGATTTCGTCCAAATTTCAATGAAAAGCTATCTCCACTTCCATTTCTCTTAAGTTGATCATTTATGGGAAGTATTGATTTATGGGAAGTAATGGATAATTTATGGGAAGTATTGATTATCAAGACGTACTTAAATCATTGATTATTTTCCCCTAAATTTATTCAAGTTAAGTTTATTCAAGGGACTCTTCAGGCATTTCCGAATCCCCAACAGTCGGATTTATATCCTGAAAAGCTTTAATATTTCTCAATTCAAAACACATAGACAATAAAACTGTTAAATAAAAGTTTATATGAAGTGTATGTAGTGTCATTATTATCGTCTCAGCCTTCTCAGGTAGCCATGATGGTAAGCAACATTTCACAGCTTTGCAGTCTTGTTCGTTTGACATCCTCATAGATGCCACCTTTGCTGATTTGTTTGATATTTTTCTTTTTCACCCAATTTCAGGTTGCCTTTACAACAAGGATATATCACCCCAACATAAACAGTAATGGTAGCATCTGTTTAGACATACTTCGATCACAGTGGTCACCAGCATTAACAATATCAAAAGGTGAGTAAAATCAGTCAATGAAGCAATCCCAGAATATATTGTGTCCCTTTATAAATTCTAAGGAAGTTGATATGATGCTTTAGCACCAGTTTTTCAGTTCAGTTTTAAAATACAGCAGCAGTATAACTGCTCTGAATCTCTACTTGCTTCTTAATACACAAGTATAAATAATAATATTAATACTTTGATGGTTTGCTTCATTTCAGTGTTGCTGTCCATTTGTTCACTTCTCACAGATCCTAACCCTGATGATCCCCTAGTGCCAGAAATAGCGCGGCTTTACAAGACTGACAAGCCTAAGTACCAAGAAACAGCAAAGGAATGGACTAGAAAGTATGCTATGTAAGAAGAGAGACATGCAGCAACTCATCCTTCTTCTCTTTCTTTCATCACGTATGTCCCACTGCGCTGTCAGACTCAATATTTGAAGATCATTTTGAGGCACATAATCTAGACTCTACAAGGAAGACTACAGACTGAGTAGGACGTGATTATCATTGCTTGGGATATTTTAACAGAGGACTTTATCATAAACCAGAATGAAGTGCTAACTTTGGGAGGGGGGATGTGTAGGGAACTAGAACTGGCTTCTTGGTTCATTTTCTTTGAAAGCATAGGCTGGGATACAATAACAATTGGGAAGATATTGTTTCTTAAGTTTACTGTGTGGAATCTGAGTTCATCTTTTTATGCCAATATTTATTTATTTACTTCTATTGTAAGTTATGAAAGTAATCAGTCCTCTTGTCTTGGAACATGCATTGATTTCAACTTAAAATTGAAAATCTTTGAAATTTGAGTTGGCAATCAAACTCGAACATAAATAAACAAAAACATTTGTTTTATCATTGTTGTAATCCAAGTAGTAATCCTTTATTTCATGAACATTTGATGTGCAAGATCTATAAAGTTGCTGCCACTGCTAGGAGGATAGTGTTGGAAGGTAACAACTATAGTAGTTCCGAGATTCACGCATTCAATTGTGACATGACCAGCATTGTTACAACATTCATATTTAGCAATGCCTGCTTTTGCTGACATTTCATATTGAAGGCCCATTGTTCTTTTTCAGGTTTACTTAAAAGGTAAAATATAATAATTCATACCCATTTATGAAGTTGTGTACACATGGATGTCTACTAAAGCAGGGTTTGCACCATACTATATGTGTAAAGATGCCTGTAATTGTTCTTCATCACTCATATGACAAGAAATAAACATTTTCATTCTTTTTGTTGTTTTTGTTGTTCCAAAAACTATAAATGTGATGAAACCTATGAAGCACATGTATCACAATGTTAGTCTAAAATATGCACAACTCCTGTTGGATCTTCAGCATCTTGGAATGTGCAAGTGTTACCTGGTACTTCTGGTGGGTTCATCAAAGTGGTGAAATAACAGTAATTGTTTCCAGTAATCTTCAGTTTTTTTCTGGAACTGATAAATTCTGCTAGTCTATTCCAAATATTTGCTGATCATTGGACTGGTTTTAAAAGGATAAGAAGGTGCACATAAATATGTGAAATTTGAGTAGAATGTTCACTTGTCTGGGGTAGCTTATTCGGGCCCATAAGCAAAATATCAATAAAAGAAATTACAACAATTATCTGTTTGAATATATTTGGTGATTCGTGACACAAAATGTTACGCAGACATAAAATTACCGAGAAACTATCAAAGTGAAACGGGACGGGCGTTTGCCTTTATATTGCTTGCATTAGTTGCGGTTCACAACTGACACAATATTGTGCGACAATAATATTATGTGCTTGGAATCATTTTCGAAAAATTATCTTATATTTCACACAAACTTTGTTTCCACTGTTTACTGAATACATGTATTAAATATGATAAAATTTAAGAATAAAACCATCGATGTATTTGAATTTATCAAAAATGTGAGAAGCAGGTTTCCTTCGAAACTAAATTACAATACTCAGGGTTATCTAGCACTACGATTCTGATTGATGCGACACGGATCCGTTGTAGCTATGGTTGTCGTTGTTTAACTTTAGTTATCCACCTTTGTGCTGGGTTATGTGATTATGGATTGAATATTTTCGACACCAGAACAACCTATAGACAGGATAAAGAAAGCAGCGGTTTTTGTTGAAGGAACAACCAGTTGAAATACTTCGATTAACGCAAAATATTCTCTCGACTAGTCCGACTGGTTCACTTTCAATATCGACGAAGAAACTGAATCGATGTCTGAATCAGAATAATGAGCGTGGTAGAGGATTATGACTTTCCTGATACATAAGGCGGTGTACTTCATCTGGCTGTGCCAGGTATGTATTATATGATAGGGCGTATAACGAGCTAAAATAATGCACCTGGATTTTCACGAAATTCAGGCTATTCACATTAGAACGTTAACCGCGGTCGAGTTTACTCCGATTAAACCGCGGTCAACCTAACCGTGTCCAGAACCGCGTTCACACTGAGACTGGCAGCGGTAGAATCTCAGCAAGCGTACTTCCTCAGGGCTTGACACTAACTTTTTTCGATACTGGCCCGAGATATTGGTAAATGTTGCAAGGATGATTTGACACATGACATTTTACTTGCTCTTTGGGCCAGTGACCCCAGCGATTCAATGGCCCTAGCTTGGTTTTCAGAGGGCCGGTGGGCCACCCTTAAAGGGATAATAACTCTTCGTATGAGATCTATATTTCACAATAAAAACATTGTGAATAACTCATAGAAATATACTATATATTCTGTTTTACCACAAAAACGGCAGTTATAGCTATTATTCTGATATCTGAGCTTGTCTTTAGACCACGTGACCTCCATTGATGGCTATACTCTGCTAAAATCTCTTAAGAGATTTTAACAAAAAACCAAACTTTTTAGAAAAAAACCAGGGACTAACTTTGAATGTAAAAATGGATTCATTAACCATTGGTAAGTATGGGAAAATTGTTGTTTACTCCAGGAAAATTCATTTTTTGGCCGAAACGAAGAGTTATTATCACTTTAATGTCAAGCCCTGTTCCTGTCAACCATGTGCTCTTACTAGAATCTGTGAAGCATGACGGGAGCTCAAATGATGATACACTTGTGCGCGTGCGCTTCATATGTAGACATCCAGTCTTGACCGCGGTCAGGAGTTTACTCCGATTATACCCACCTCCCAATCCGGGTTTATTTCGACCGCGGTCAGGGCTATGTCATCCGTTCACATTAGAAAAGTTAACCGCGATAGACGAGGTCAGGCCTTGACCGCGGTTAAAAGTGCTAGTGTGAATTGGGTATATATTTCTATATTGTACAGATCACCTCAAACATATAGGTATGACACTCCCTTATTAGTTAAAGTAAAGAATACATACATATTTGTATCCATGATGTCATTCTAGTTTCCTTTGCGCTTGGCATTAGAATATGTTTCCTTTGTCATTGTTAGAGTTCTTGGAATATACATGTAGGACTATGAGTCAACGAGTCAACACTGAAGTCAGGATGTCATAGTCCCCAGCTATATTTTTATTTGAAAGAGTTTGACTGATGGAACCTGGTACCTGAAAAATAGTCAAGTATATATACTTTTCAAGCATTAATTTTTCTCATTTCTTAATTATTAAGAAGACACATTTTCTCTTCAGGTGATGTACAGCACAGGTGATTCAAGTTCATGTATTTGTAATATACCAGTAAATTGCAGTGAGCCAGCTTATACTGACTTATTCGAAATTTTGCGGGATTACCAGTCACTGTTCATTGAATCCCCTCCAAATTTCTACAATGTCCCACAAGAATGTTCAGTGAACTGCTCTGGTAAGTGAAAATTTTCTGATATGTGAAACATGAGGATTTCTTTCAAAAATTTTTAGAAGAAAAAAATGAAGTGTTTCCAGTTTATCCTATTTTTCAAGTTTTAAGGATAGATTGTTTTCAGGGAAAAGATATTTGAACACAATGTATGCATCTTCAAGATCGATGCAATAAAGCGAGTACTTACTAGTATGTCGAAAATACTGGGTATATTGCTGCTAAATCCCAAATGTCAATATAGTATATNATCAGATTTTAATAATCTGATTCTGTGACATATGAAAAAATAAATTAGACAATGCATATGAAGATCTGGGATATTTATTTCTTTTATGTATGTTGTTTTGCAGCAGTAATTAACTGTAATGTTTAGCACGTGACTATGAACCTGTCCTAAATGAGAGAACAGTTGTGTCAATATTCACTTGGCTTATACTCACAAAGATCTGCATATGTACAAGTCATCAAATGTTCTTATAATGATAAACCTGAAAGCAGCAAGCTCATGGTGCTATTTTCAGTTCAATTGTTAAAAGTTGGAATTTGCTAAATCAAATTTTTGTGCGAACAGTAAGAGGAGAAATTGTTTGCGGTTTGAACTCGAATTTCCTTCCTTGTTTATACAAATACATTCCCCCCACATACATAGTAGATTTGTTTACTAAATCACCTGTAGATAGTCAATAAAGGCATTATTGCCTAATAGCAATGGGGAAAGAATTGTTTTATATGTACCAAACATGCATCTTCTGGACTAGTTTAGTTGGCGGATGGAGAGGTGTTTTTTGAGTTGTAGTTTTATCTAAATAATTGTATAAATGAAGTTTTTTGGTCCATTGACTTAATTAGAAGTAGGTTTTTGATTATTTTTCTGTTATATATTAAAAACAATAATGTCATAAGTAATATCAGTTGATTTTGACACAAATGTTTTGCCCATTTGTTGAAACTTTACAAATTTGAGTGCTTTATCATAAATTGTGTATGATCAGTCACAAATCGATATACTAATAGGTGCTACTACTATTACCTTTCAGATTTTCATTTTTGACTCCCAATTTTTCCTTTTTAGATCACTGAATGTTAATTGAAGTTTTATCTGCCACTTATTAGAAAAAACTGATTAGGAAAGAAAAAGTCAAATCAAATACTCTACTCTCCTGAAAATATCTTTTGACCTAGTTTAGTTTACTAAAGAGTTTTTTTTTTTTGGTGACAGCTATGATGGAGAAGCTGTCACAAAGACTGCATATTTGAAAATGTAATTGCTGGTCAAAAGGACACCCTGTGCAGTGAACTGTTTGTGGATGGATAGGTTTCATTGTCTTATGATGCCTCAGTCACAGGGCAAATGCATAGGTGCCTCAGTCATAGGGCAAATGCAGATTTTTATGCATGTATGTCATTTTGTAGGATGAAAAAGAAGTATTAAGAATAAAACTTTTATTATCTATCTTGTTTCACCAAAACATAAATTATGAATTTGCCTTAGAAATGTTTAAAACTGAATCCAGTTCAAGTATTTAAAAATATAGAAGAAAGCACAAAAGTTTTCGACTTGTACTGAAGTGAATGTTAGACACTGAGGGAAGTTTTCATGCCAACAAATGCTTAGTATTGTACTGGTGATTTTTGTGTGTATTTAAGGCCAAACAAAATGATCAGGTATATTTTCCTTATGTTGTTCCGTAGAAGGTTGCATACAGACCAGGAAGTATAAACTCTGCACATTTAATGTCTACAATTTTTACATAATTGTATTTACCACCTGCTTAGTAGAGTGTGTGATACAACTGATGATAATACAGATGATAAAGGACATAGCCGTAGACACACCAGCTTGTTGAAAATACATGCCGTCAGGTGATGCCTGCACCCATCTAAATGACCGCATCCATCTAAATGACAGTTTGTTGGGAAAAGCCTGTACTGTTCAAAATCAATGTTGTGAGTAAAAATCTGAGAATGACTGCATTATTGGGAGATTTCCACCAAAGACACATCGGAAAAACTGTTCTACAATTTTAGCTTTTAAAAGTTTGTAAACATTTAAAACTGAATATACCTGAATTTAGAAATATAGGAAGCTCTAGCTGACTTCAGATGCTAAAATCAATGAAATGTGCAATAACGTCATACTTTTACTTAGCACTTGATTAAAAAATGTAAAACACAGTTGTAACTGTGTCCTTAAATAAATTTAAAACTGGGTTTAAAAAATTCAAATAACCTTGAATTGTTCCTGTTTTGTACCAAGCCTTAATTTGTCACCACCACCAATTTTAACACAATTTTATTTTTTTTGGGGGGGGGGGGGGGGGGGCAAAAAAACCCGGAAAAAGCTCATTTTTTAAAGGGTTTTCGGTGGTGGCCTTTGAAAAAAAAAAAAATCTCCCCCTCTCCCCCGGGGGAAGAATTANGTTTGAAAAATTCACAGAAGTAGTAGCAGATTTTAATAATCTGATTCTGTGACATATGAAAAAATAAATTAGACAATGCATATCAAGATCTGGGATATTTATTTCTTTTATGTATGTTGTTTTGCGGCAGTAATTAACTGTAATGTTTAGCACGTGACTATGAACCTGTCCTAAATGAGAGAACAGTTGTGTCAATATTCACTTGGCTTATACTCACAAAGATCTGCATATGTACAAGTCATCAAATGTTCTTATAATGATAAACCTGAAAGCAGCAAGCTCATGGTGCCATTTTCAGTTCAATTGTTAAAAGTTGGAATTTGCTAAATCAAATTTTTGTGCGAACAGTAAGAGGAGAAATTGTTTGCAGTTTGAACTCAAATTTCCTTCCTTGTTTATACAAATACATTCCCCCCACATACATAGTAGATTTGTTTACTAAATCACCTGTAGATAGTCAATAAAGGCATTATTGCCTAATAGCAATGGGGAAAGAATTGTTTTATATGTACCAAACATGCAGACTAGTTTAGTTGGCGGATGTAGAGGTGTTTTTTGAGTTGTAGTTTTATCTAAATAATTGTATAAATGAAGTTTTTTGGTCCATTGACTTAATTAGAAGTAGGTTTTTGATCATTTTTCTGTTATATATTAAAAACAATAATGTCATAAGTAATATCAGTTGATTTTGACACAAATGTTTTGCCCATTTGTTGAAACTTTACAAATTTGAGTGCTTTATCATAAATTGTGTATGATCAGTCACAAATCAATATTCTAATAGGTGCTACTACTATTACCTTTCAGATTTTCATTTTTGACTCCCAATTTTTCCTTTTTAGATCACTGAATGTTAATTGAAGTTTTATCTGCCACTTATTAGAAAAAACTGATTAGGAAAGAAAAAGTCAATTCAAATACTCTACTCTCCTGAAAATATCTTTTGACCTAGTTTAGTTTACTAAAGAGTTTTTTTTTTTTTTTTTTTTTGACAGCTATGATGGAGAAGCTGTCACAAAGGTTGCATATTTGAAAATGAAATTGCTGGTCAAAAGGACACCCTGTGCAGTGAACTGTTTGTGGATGGATAGGTTTCATTGTTTTATGATGTCTCAGTCACAGGACAAATGCGAAAGTTTTATGCATGCATGTCATTTTGTAGGATGAAAGAGAAGTAGAATAAAATATTTATTATCTATCTTGTTTCACCAAAACATTAATTATGGATTTGCTTTGGAAATGTTTGAAACTGGATCGCGTTCAAAAATTTAAGGATTGAGAATAAAATAGTTTTCAACTTGTGTTCAAAAGAATGTTAGATACTAAAGGAAGTTTGCATGCCAGCACATGCTTGCTATTATACTGGTGATTTTTGTGTGTATGTAAAAATTGACCAAACCTGACCAAACAAAATGATCAGGCATGTTTTTAACACTTCCTTATTTAGTTCAATAGAAGGTTGCATACAGACCAGGAAGTATAAACTCTACAATTTTTACATAATTGTATTTACCACCTGCTTAGTAGAGTGTGTGATACAACTGATGATAATACAGATGATAAAGGACATAGCCGTAGACACACCAGCTTGTTGAAAATACATGCTGTCAGGTGATGCCTGCACCCATCTAAATGACCACATCCATCTAAATGACAGTTCGTTGGGAAAAGCCTTTACTGTTCAAAATCAATGTTGTGAGTAAAAATCTGAGAATGATTGCATTATTGAGAGATTTTCACTTGTGACACACCCGAAAAGCTGTTCTACAATTTTAGCTTTTAAAAGTATGTAAACATTTAAAACTGAATGTACCTGAATTTAGAAATATAGGAAGCTCTAGCTGACTTCAGATGCTAAAATCAATGAAATGTGCAATAATGTCATACTTTTACTTAGCACCAGAATTGTACTGGTGATTATTGTGTGTATTTAAGGCCAAACAAAATGATCAGGTATATTTTAAACACTTCCTTATGTTGTTCCGTAGAAGGTTGCATACAGACCAGGAAGTATAAACTCTGCACATTTAATGTCTACAATTTTTACATAATTGTATTTACCACCTGCTTAGTAGAGTATGTGATACAACTGATGATAATACAGCTGATAAAGGACATAGCCCTAGACACACCAGCTTGTTGAAAATACATGCCGTCAGGTGATGCCTGCACCCATCTAAATGACCGCATCCATCAAATCTAAACAGTTCGTTGGGAAAAGCCTGTACTGTTCAAAATCAATGTTGTGAGTAAAAATCTGAGAATGACTGCATTATTGGGAGATTTCCACCAAAGACACATCGGAAAAGCTGTTCTACAATTTTAGCTTTTAAAAGTATGTAAACATTTAAAACTGAATATACCTGAATTTAGAAATATAGGAAGCTCTAGCTGACTTCAGATGCTAAAATCAATGAAATGTGCAATAACGTCATACTTTTACTTAGCACTTGATTAAAAAATGTAAAACACAGTTGTAACTGTGTCCTTAAATGAATTTAAAACTGGGTTTAAAAAATTCAAATATTAAACCTTGAATTGTTCCTGTTTTTTTACCAAGCCTTAATTTGTCACCACCACCAATTTTAACACAATTTTTTTTTGGGGGGGTGGGGGGGGGGGGGGGGGCAAACACCTGGACAGAGCTGCATCTTTTAAAGTGTTTCAGTGGTGTGCCTATATGAATAATAACAGAATCTGCCTCTCTCCCACGGGAAGAAATATGGATTGATTTTTACAGCCCACTGATTGCAGCTATAGAAATTTTACCTTTGGAGAGACAGAATTTTTAGACACTAGTCTGTAAAAGATAACAATATATATCTCCTAGGGTGAAAATGAGGTTGCATCAAAATAACAAACTTGTAAACAGAAGTTCAACCAATATAAGTGTTTCATAGAAAAAAGTATATAAAAAGGCTTTAGCAGTATCACTTTATAGCTTGGTTTTAAGTTATTATTTCCATTGTGCTGACTTGGCACCATCTTAGAAAACAAATGGAGCAAAGCCTTTCAGTGTGCTTTGTGTACTGAAAGGTTAAAACAACAGCTGTAGCAAGTCTGACTGAATCATGCTTAGCAAGAACACATGTGCACTAGACCTGGCCATTCATATAAACTGTATCTTGGCAGTTGCTTTTTATCCTGAGATCCGATCCAACATAACATGTTATGATGGATCCTAGTTTTTATCTAAATTACATCTTGTAAAAACCATGTTATCTCATTCTCATGTTGGATTTGGAGATTAACACATGAAATTTGAGGAGGTCATGGATGAAATATTGGGTACTTCATGATATTTATGGTGTTGTAGACTCCTGGGTGCTATCTTGGGGCAGTTATTGCCTTAGATCCAGGTCATTTTATTGCCTTAAAAAAACAAAATCAAATCAAAGGGAGAGGTGCGCTGTCCTAAATGTTCCTTTCAACATTGCTTTTATGCCAAAAAGAAGAACAAACTTATCAATTCTATAGTCTGCATTGTGTGTCAAAATAAAGGATGTGGTGTCATTTTTTTTCCGTTTTGACCAAAAAATTGAATATTTGCCAGTACCTTTGCTGGACCCATTATGCCATTTCTGTGTGCAATATTATTCAGGTACTAATATACATACTTGCTTTTTCAGTCTTACCTACACCGCAGACATCCACAGATGGTAAGTCAAATTAAGAGAAAGTGAAAAAGATATTTTGGGTTCTGTTAATATGTTTGGATATTTTAAATGAAAATTGTGTTAAATTATGCACCAAATTAATTTGCCAAAATTTTATGATATATGCTATTTCTGTTTAACAATTCTGCTGACTGAAAATATTTCTTAGGAATGAAACTGCTTTATGGGCTGATTTGCTTTCCCTGAAAAAAGTTTCTTTAAAATCTTCAAATATTTAAAAAAATTATTTCACAAAGAATTAAGCTTTTCAGAGAAAAGACTACTCATTAATTATTATTATTATTTTGTTGGGGGGGGGGGGGGGAGAGAGAGTTTGATGACAAAATATTTTGGAGTCAAACAGATGGATAGGGTCAATTTATGCATCTGTTCAGTTGAAAGACATGCCATAAATTTCTTGCTTTCAAGCCACCTTTTTTCTAGGTCTTTTGATTGACTTCCGAGTTTTGCCAAATATATCACTAAGAGGTATGAACTTTAAATGAAGAAAGCTTTGGCATGGCATGTATTCCCAATGTGATATACAAGCAGAAGATGTATAAGAAGCCTGCATATCAGTTTACTCTAGACATTACTCTGATTATATTATTATTTTGCATCTTGTTATAACAATATTTTATTATATTTATTTGTTAACGTATTATTTTTTCAGAAACATATATTTACCCCACTGACTTTGGTGCATAGCCTGATAATAACAGCATGACATATATGTTCATGTTTTAGTTGATACTGACATTTGTGCATGTAATTTGGAATATAAGGAAGTCCAATATCATTTTATATATACAAGAAAAGATTGAACAGGTTTTTTTTTTCACATGTGATTTTTTTTTAAATTTGAATTTAAATGAACTGCTTCACCATAGCCCATAGTTGAAAGGTTACTGAAAAATGTCATTTGAGGCATTTCTTTTAAATGAAGTGATACAAACATGATTATTTTGAAAACCAGCTTCAATGAAAAATATTTTCAAAAGGAAATTTGCTCTTGTAACTGCTGGTTCGCAATATGTTATGGAACACATTTGATGATCATTGAATTATCCATTCAGTACACAGGTACAGCGTAATGATATAATCCATGGTCATAGCTTCTGCCATCCAGTCTAAATCATTTATAAAATTGGGTCAATAAGTGATAGTCACAGAGACCAAACAATACATACCGATATAGCAAAGGATAGTACATTGTTCTCTGTATTTAAGTATTTTTGGACACAATGTGGTCCACAATGCTCATTACTTTGATAAGCACACTAAGGGACCATTCCCAATGAAACTACTGTTCTATGTTGATCAATCCAACTCCGCATGGACTCTCCCTGAATGCAGTCAGTTAAACAGATTAACACACTCCCTCTTGTTTCCAATATACTTATGTAATCAACAGCTTTTCTGTATTCTACTCAAAGCCAAATGGAGGCATGTTTATCAGTAAATCTGACTGCATTCAGCGAGAGTCCCTGCAGAGAGATCGATTTATGTAGAAGGATAGTTTCATTGGGAATGAGCCTGGAATGTTTGGATATATACTTTCTTCTCTTTTTATTTCCCAAGGAAGACCTATTTCACTGGATTGAATTCACTTTTGATATATATATTTAAGTCAAGTAAATTTTATTTTTCATTGGTTTGATTTATGTGTAAACAACAAAACATTAGCTTCATCTACCTTTGACCCAGTTTTCTATAAAACCAACAAGAAGCAAAGAAAAACAATGATTAAACATTATAGTGTTCAAAAACTCTTGATCATAGCAGTGCCTTGACTCAGGCTAGCATATTTTAGGCCTTATAAATGGATTAGGTATTTTTTAACTTGAGCCTCATGTTTGTGAGCACAAATGCCTAAATTTATGACTCCAACCCTGAAATAAGTACTGCAACGTAAAATTACCTGCCACGTTAAGCACACGAACGAAACGGGGTGCCTCGATATGAAACCAGCCAACTTTTGTGTTTTTAATCTCCAAATACTTAAAAAAATCAATAAAGCTAATAAATAGGCCGTCTATAAGAACTTATTATATCGTATCTTTTATATTAATTATTATCACATATTACAATAATAAACGAGTCGCCTTTTGATGTACGCCCGGCTATAGACTCTATTAGGAAATATCCATTTTTTTGAGATTACAAATTGTATCGTATTGTTTGGTTCCATTGCCTCACTTTCAAAAATTAGAACAGGCGCTCCAAAATCGTAAGACGAAGTTAAAAATTTTATATTGGCAGAGTTCGCCCCCCGATAAGAATATCCTTACAGCATTATCTGCAATTAACCTTCCTACGATTTTTAATGTATTTTGCAGCATAAATTTCAATCTGCCCGATGAAGAATTTTATTAATCAAGAGTGGGGGAGGGGTGAAAAATCCCCATTGGGGCCACATATAACACTATAAATGCAATGGGAATCCCCTTAAATTGAAGGTAAAATAAATGTTATTCTAAGGAATTCCTACGGATTTACTTTTTACAACATAAAATCAATAGAACATTTCTAACATAAATTTTCAAAAAGACACCAGAGAGCAAATGAAATAAAATCAACCAGACGGTAAACACCGGCAGGCTTTGTCAATTTCACCAACTTGTTCATTTCAAACAACGCACTTTTCGCACATGCGCAGTTGTTTGAAGCCTTTGCTGCCACGTTACACAAACTGTTTATCCCTTTATCTACCCGTTCAGTACATTCCGTAAGAGCCAGAAATGGTAAAAACACATTGCTTTTGAATAAAAAAAAACCATAAGGGGCCTATGTATACAGCAAGAGACATGAAGGGAAGCTCGCCAAATTGTTTGTGTAGTGAAATGCTAGGTTGTGGCAAGTAATTTTACGTTGGTATTGTTAATTCATGGCTGGGGTCATTGATTTGTACATTGGTGCTCCCAAAATCTAACTCTTGTGTATGAAAATATATATGAGGCCTGTATTTGATATACTGCAATGGCATTCTCAAAATTGCTTTCACTAAGTGAATGATAACTTAAAAATAGAAAATTGTCTCTTGGATTTCCATAAGAGTTCAGCACCCCAAAAGAGAAACTGAATGGTGATGTAATGATAAGCAAGATGAAAGGGACCATTGAGTAGTTTTTCTGTCAATAGTAACATGAATAACTTCCAGTTTCTGTGGCAAGTGTAATGTTTCACTTGACAAGCCATACATAGATGCCAATTCACCAGGTGCTACTGAGCACATAAATATTACAAAATGCTGCTTTTCATATAAAGACCATACAGCTTTATTTATAAGTTAATGCCTCTGTATTTAGTTATCAATATCATCAATATATCCAGGTGTATCTACACAGGAACCGGTAACCAGTACCTCCACCAATGTGACAACAGTCACAGTAGTGACGACCACCCCTTCTGGTACTGTCCTTCATATTAACATAACTGATATATATATGTGTTGGTTGGCTTGAGCAGAGTGATACTTGCAGCTGTAGTGATGCTACTGGCACTGGATTTCAGATTCTGGTCTTAGGCTGAAACAGTGTGGCCAGTTTAATAAATATTGGGAAAAAGGGGGGCATTTTTTTTTTCTTTTTTAAATTTTTTCTTTTTTTGATTAATTTTTTTATCCCATAACTATTTCAGCCAAACAGAAAACACTGCTTTTAGCCATGGTGTGGACTCTTTGCTAATTTGGTATTGTATTTACTACTTTTTTTTTCTTTGGTTTTGGTGTTTTAAGGAGTCATAGAAGCCAGTCTAACTTCACTGAGCTATGTGCCATCCAGGACTGATACATTGGAATACACAACCAGCTGGCAGACTGATTCCTCCACACACTGTGAAACCACACCATGCTTAAACACAGCATATACACATACAGAAACTGCCACACTGGTGGTGACACCTAGTGGAACTGACCCACATGTTTCCTTTATAACGGAAGAAACAACTGTTGCTGTACAAAGTAGCAGTGAAATGCTTGGTGAATATATATATATATATGATATATTTAGCCTAATGTTGTCTGCTGTGCAGTAGAACTTATCCATGTTTGCTTTGAGTGATTAAAAATGGTTAAACCAAAGTGGCCTGCAGTTAACATACTCTTATCAAGTAATAAAGTGAAGCTCTAGGTCAGTTTTTCCTATGGCTAATGCAATTCTGATTCATAAAGCAAATTTGTTCCTACCAGAATTTCAGGAAAATAGAACAGAACATTATGTGAAATTGAACCCATATTCATTAAAAGCATCTAACTTTGGCATATTGATGGTATTCCCTTTATAATATTATGTAATTTTATATAGCATAATATTAATTGCAGTGCCACTTATGCACACCATAATTTTACCTCTAGCTTTGTCTCTAATCACATGCAATTGGATAAAAAAGTTCTGCACTCTATTTCCATGACAAGGCAAGTGATTGATGTGTATACCAGTACACACACACTGGTTTGATTTAAGTGAAAATCCATGCACTATGTGCTATATGCCAGGTTTATGGCTCTGACAGCCAATACCAGAGCCTTTCTTATTTGATCTGGTGTTGAGACAGTAACAGTAATTTTGGCAGACATTACCATATTGAAATGGGTTTTTGAATTAGTCTTAAAAGAGTTCATTGCACCTGAATTAAGTAGTGATATTTTTGATAGACTTTCATGTTCACCTTACTTGATGAAGTCTTGATTATCACTTAATTACAGGGTTATTCTGATATGGTTTCACAAAATGCTATCACACATCCTTGTCTTGCCTTAATATTGAAGACTGCATTTGCTCAGTTTCAATTTAAGTTTAGCTAAGACTACCAAACTCATGCAGTCACCTCTGTTTTTTCAGTCAAAACTAAGCAATCTAAGCCCAAAAGAAAAAGCAACTACAATTTGATCTTTGTTTTAACATAAAAACAACAAGATATAGGGTCTTCTGATTCTTTCAAATGCAACCAATGCCATGAGTTTTAGCTATAAACAATTTTCACTGAAGATTTTTTTTGTGTGTGAAATGGTATCCCTGGGCTACGAGCCAAATTGTTGGTCTATAAAGGTAGTTGCTTTTATTTATCTGGTTTCCTATTATGGACAGACACATTCTCCTTCATGATTCACAGAAATGAATCACAACAGTACAATATGGCCCTAGTTTGAAAAAAAAAGCTTGACAGATTTATTATTCTTGGACTTATGACATTTTTTTGAATATTTCATTTTTCACAAATTGGCATTTTCCAGGTATGACTTTGAATTGTCATGGATCTGAATTTCATTCTAAATGTTTACAGTAACATTAGTTCAAAGATAGAAATATGTTCAAACATAAGTTCAAAGATAAAAATAAGTTGTTTTTGTTATGAAGCATTCAATTATGTTACATAAGAATTGAAAAAACATTTTTTTTTTGCTCTTTCATCATTAAAATTTTTGTTTTAAACTGTTACTGCAGCTATCAGTTTTGACAGCAATGTGTCTGTCCATTTTACAGCTTTGCTGACTTGTTAGAAATGTGGTTGCCATTGCATCACAAAGCAGTTCATACATTGAGCTGCTGTCTCAGATCTCTAGGGACCATCAGCTCAGTTACTGTCTAACAAATATTGCTGTCACTTTTTGAGATCAGTAACTCAGCCCATATCTTACAGTGCCTCAAATATTTTGAAATCAGTAGCTCAGCTCTGAGACTTATGAAGGCCTGTAACCTGTTTCTGGCTTAGACCTATAAGACCCATAGCCAGCAGTTCCAAAAGGGGGGGGGGGGGTTCTGATAAAATGGACCTTTTACCAAGAAACCTTCATGTACTAGTACCTAGGTAAAATTTTACCTGGCAGAAAGGGGTACCGCATGGCTACAGGCCTGCCTATTGGGATCTGTAGCTCAACAAATAATTTACAGTGTCTTAGACCATCAAACTTCAACCTCAAGAAGTCAGTAGCTCAACACTTACATGTAGGTGACAGTGTGGCTTAGGCTTCTTGAGCTTTGTAGTTAAGACTAAAGCTGACAGTGAAACTCTGAAGTCAAGATATCTGCATATTAGCTGACACTGTGCACTAAAAAACATCAATCATTACTGGCAGTGAGTGGATCTGCCTTGTGAGTGCTGTAACAACACAGGTCTCTGTATCTATGAAATCTTCTGGTATTTTTTCCTAGGCATTGCAAAATTAGTGCTATTTGTGTGTTACTTATTTCTTGTACTATCTTGTCACTGTAAGTCTTTTACCTACATTTGCAATTCATATGAAAACAACAGATAATTTTATATGGTACAGTCAGCAGTTGGACACAGACCAATATGCAGAAATTAAACGAAGGCATAAAAATTACATAATACCCCATGCTATTATAATGTGATACCTATGAGATTGCATTCGTCTTCATGCTTTAAATTTTTGAATTCAATTGTGCTAGCTCATAGTGCTACAAGAATCTAATATAGATTTATCAGTGCTTTAGACAAGTGTGTTGCTTAAGCCTTCTATCATCCCAATAAAATTTTGCAATTGTGGCTGCAGCTAATATTGAACGTAGACAGTCAGATGCTGACTAAGTACAAAATGGTGGACTGGCTGGTGTGTAATGGACCGATGGTGTTACATGACTCTGTGTGCTGCAATCCTGAGACAGCGCTTCCACTTTAAAATGTGTTTCTGATTTAATTAAATAAGCATTTCATTTTCAATCCCTCCCTCACTTGATTATCTTTCTATGGGCAGGCTGTATTGGGGAATGTCTTTCTATTTATAATCTTTGTATTTATTCTTTTTGAATGGTGTGACTGAATTGTGTTTATTTACTTTTAATTTGATAAGTATGGTGTATAATTGTATTTAGTTTCTTATTTTGTGTAGTTGCAATATCAATACATATAGATAAATTCACTGTTGGTTTTGGTAAGAAAATACTGTTTTCATTTCTAACAGTCAGCTTAAATATGTGTTCTCACTTTTATGGCATTTCACTACATGATTGTGCTTTTTTTTTAAAACTAAAAACTGTGTTAGAATTTAGAAGCATTATCCTGGCGAAGTCTCTTGCTAGTCAAAAAGAAAAATTTGGAAATGTTGAACTTAGTCATATAACCAATGTTAAGTGTGTTTGCTGTGTAAGCATACTAACAAATACATGATTATGCCACATGCAGAGCTATATAGATTACTATCAATAACATTTTTGTTTAAAAACGTGTTGTATTAGGGATTGATTGCTACTGGTTGATATTTGATTCTTTTGTTATGAAAATTCTCATCTTCAGAGTAATAATAAATAATACATAATAAGTTTATGTCAGTGAGGAAGATACAACAGATTGTTATCTATAATTGATTATGGCATCGGTTTTTCAATATTTCCTGAAACTATGCCATGCAGTAATTCTGTATATATTACATTTTATATTTCCTTCAGGAAATGGGCCTAATTCCTGGTTGCTTGGAGTGGTATTTGGCTGTATTGGGCTGTGTTGTCTGGTTGCCATCATAGTTGTCATATACTTCAAGAAGAAGGGAAAAAAACTGTAAGACTTTAACTAATTTACCCTCTGATAGTGCAGTTTTATAAATTTGTTATTTAAGAGTCCTTTATATTAACAAAACAAATGTCAGTCAAAAAGAACTTAAACACCATTGCAGAAATAGTAATTTTTATGTTTTTTTTTAATAAGTAGGTTTCGTGTAGGGCCAGGATGCCATGACAACAACAATTTTTTGCACAATTTCCAAATCAGAGGTCATAAGTACATTCAGAAGAAATCCAAACATGGGAATGACTATGCTATGACAACCGATTTGTCCGGCTCACAGGCGCTAACACCTGTAGAGGGGAGAGAGAATTTTTATGAAAATGCTAATGTTATTGATGAAAAGAATGTCCCGAATGGGAAGACTCCCCCTTCATCTCCTAAAGGAAGAAAGAGTACATCTAGGCCTTTGAAAACTGCTGTGCCGAAAACTGCTCTGCCAAGTGTTTCTGCTGGTGTAGAGAAAACCGCGCCAGCTGACCTTTCTGGCTCACAGGCACCAACATACGAAGAGGGGAGACAGAATATTTATGAAAATGCTAATGATATTGATGAAAAGAATGTCCCAAATGGGAAAACTCCCCCTCAATCTCCTAAAGGAAGAAACATTACATCTAGGCCATTGAAAACTGCTGTGCCGAGTGTTTCTGCAAGTGTGGAAGAAACCCCGAACCAAAACACATTCTCCTCTGCGGATGCGCACCCAGCGGAACATCAACCACAATCAGTACCTCCACTATCCCATCAGTGGAACAAAAATAACAATGGTCTTGATGTTTATAATAACCAGATAAATCATGAAAATAAAATCCCTCTTCAAGACAGTTCTGCAGAACCTAAGAAAAAAGAAAGGAAGAAAAAGAAAAGTGTCAAAGCAGTGCAAAAACCACGACCACTTCCACCAGCTCCTCATATCCCTTGATATGAAATGGTGGCACTTTCTATGGCATAAAGTGAAATGATTTTAATTGAACTATGCTGAATGATTTTAATACAGAACTCCTACAGACAAGGATTTTCATTAAAGAATGATAAGCTAGTGCGGATAATGTAGATGCTTGCTAGGTTACTGTGATCTAAAAGTGGGCTCTTTTTTTGTTTGCAGCATTTTTCTTTCTTTTTGCATAATACAAGAAACACATGCAAGGGAATTGGTGTCATCCAGATATTTGTGAAGTGATGACTAAAAAAGCATAATTTGATTACAAATTAATGTGACACTGAGTACATTGTGGTTTTTTACAAGAAAAAAAATTTAAGAGTACAGTGTGGGTTTTAAAGGAAAGCTGCCATTTTTTTCAATAATTCTGATTAAACATTTTTATTATGTATACAACTGATTTTAAAGTGACAATGTAACCACATAAAATGATTTTCTGCTTGTACTCATATGAGAGGTCTAATCATGCTTATACAATGTTCCCATTTTTATGTGCAAGTCCCGTTCCAGTTTGTATTGACGTGAGGTAGATATTTGAAACATGAAGTAAATATTTCCCTGGTTCAAATGGTGCTTGCTTCTACATGTATGTGGTATTTTGATTGTATGTAGGGTTTGTATGAGAACAAGCTGCTTCTATTCCCACCTGTGTATTTTGTGACGTGTCATATAGCTGGTATATGGAGTAAATTACTCAACTTGCCTATGTATAAGAAGACACGTGATATACAGCTGTTGCATTTTGACTGCAGTATTGAAAAAAATCTGCTGATATTTTACTTTGGAAATCCATTTTTATGATGCACATCTGCTGAAATGAAGGTGTAACACTGTAATCAGATTTAAGTATATTTGTCATTTAATATAGGGATTGTGTTGTTTATATATGTATCTGTTTTTCTGTTTATAAGACAGTTACTCGTCATTTAATGTCAGAACTAATAATTATTTTAAGATAGAGTAAGATCAGTTGTATTGAAAAGCTGGTGCTTGTGTCAAATGTGATTGATGTGATTTGCCTTGCTTAAGAGGTGTCAAAAATCTACTGCTGAGGTACTAATGTATGACTGTACATTTAGCTTATTATCTAACACCCTATTTCCATAGATTAGATCGACCTACTTTAGATCGACCTAACTCCCTGGGGGTTCACGCTAAATAGCTGTCAGCCGGGTGGACATGAAAGTTAATTACCCTCTTACAGCTTGTAGTAGGCGGGACGGACATTTAAGTCGGCTTATCTGAAAGTAATCTAGTGAGACTCCCCACGGGGATAGATCGATCTAAAATCTATGGGAATAGAGCCTAACATTTCAAGAGATTTTGCTAATCTAAATGAAATTCGTAATCTGCAGATCCAGGCTTGAGCTAAAGGGGTGGGGGCCAAGGATAATTTTTTTTTTACTGTGGCCACCAAAAGCAATTTTACTTAGATATGTATAGGGCAAGTAGCTGCGAAAATTGCTTGGCTTTGTCTTGTTCCACACCTTATCCCTCCACCTTCTCTTGGTAAGCAGGACTTCAGAGGTGTGGGGAGAGGCGTTGCACATGCTTGGGTCTGCCATTGGTTCAAAAGACTAATGGGCTCTTTTGTAATGTTATTTGCAAGGATTATTTTCAAAATATATTGTCTCTCACTTCTCTTGTTCCCAAGATTTAACTTGTCCAAAATCAACAAGCCTGACTATGTGACCTTAATATGACCTTAAAGTGATAACTTACATATCTCCATGTCCCCTGTTCCCAAGATTTAACTTGTAATAATTTATTAAACCTGGTGGCTACTTTTTATGACCTTTATTTGACCTTAAAGTGTCAACTAGCTTGTCTCCATAAACCCTGTTCCCAAGACTTGTCTGAATTTGTTAAATCTGCTGGCTACTTTATATGACCTTTATACGACCTTAAAGAGTCAACTAGCATGTCTCCATATTGACAATCAGTGTTATGAATATTTGATAATTGATTTTTGATATATTCTTTATGTATAATTGATATTGTTTTAATTTACTTTTATTAACAAGCAATTTAATTGTCTGTATATTTCTGATCATTTAACCTTCCATACAGAATAACTTAAAGTTACCTTTTATATAATCATATTAATATGTGAAAAAAAAGCTTGACTGTTGCCTTAATTTTACATTTAAGTTTTCTTATAGTTCAGAAATAAAACTCTTGTGGGAAATGTTCCAAGTTAAGTAAGAAAACTGCCAATATTTTGAATAAGCACATCAAGCAAATTTAAATCCTGTTAAAGCAAAATTAATTCAAAATATTTGTTATTTAACATATACGCTTTGTTTGTTGGCTTTGTAAAAGGTGCAAATTGTGTAAATAATTATGAATAAATGCATATTGTTCTATAACATTGTAAATGTTTAGTTGGATTTTATTATTTGACCTTAATGCAGTTACAGAATTGGTATGGAGGGCATAGGGATGGATTTATTGTTTTTTACATTAAAAACAATCGATTCTTTACTGATGATAATTATGACGTAGATATTCCATCTTCAGAAAAGTTTAGTTTAGCTTAGAAACACGATTTTAGTGAGTTTCGGTGGAAACCATTGAAACTAAACAAAATCTGATAACAAGTTTTGATACTTCCTATGAAAATCGATTATGAGAAGTTGATATAAAACGGGTTTAAAAAGCATCAAAAGCGAGATTTATATTTGTTTCGTAATTTTTGGTTAAAATCTGCTCCTATGTCTTTGAAATATTTCTCATAAAGATAGAAATCTCAGTTTGTTTTATGTACTGGTGGCGCGTATTCGTTTATTCATTATACAGCAATTTGTGATTAGATATGCCCAGTTAAATAAATGACGTCAATGTCACTGTCAAAATCTTTTTTTTTTTTTTGTCTAATCGTCGCTAGCTGCCATCAGCCATTAGAATAGGACTTCCATAACTTTGCTTTTATAATTTTAGAAAAGCGTGACAAAGAAATTATAAAAAAAACGTGCGACGTCACTTGGTCGCAAGTTATTACGATTGGCCAAAGCCTCCACCCAGACTTTTCCATGTCCCGCTCTGTGAAAGAATCGTAGCTAACCAACTACGTATGCCTTTATTTGGTCCATTTGCTTTTAATATTAATGGCCTGTTTGACAAAAGAACCCCTTAGTTTCCTACTGTGATCTGTGTGCTGTTAAAAGCACTATTAGTAGTAAAGCAAATAAGCTGTATTTTGAGTGCAAGTAAACGAGGTGTAAGTCAACAAAAGGAAGGTATTTCGGGGTAAATATACGTAAATTGTGTATTCAAATCATGGAGAGTAGTCGGGGAGGTGATTATGATACGTATGGTTGATAGTCTCTAGAATGGTCAGACTGATCTGTACGTGATCGTCTGATATTTTCCGATCCACTGGAGCGCCAATAGCGTCTGTCTCGTGACGAAAAGAGTTGCAGTGACCGATGCTTTGATAAACCGTGGCCATTTTGGGAGTATCATCCAGGAAAGAAGTTTGATTAAGCATTGGGACACGGCCACGCCTACTCAGGTGTGTACCCAGACGACATTCTTGCACAGCAAGAGGCAGTCTATTTTAGAACCCGTGTTCTCGAGTGCCCTGAATTCGACAGGTTTACAAAACACTCTAGCAGACTGTCATTTCATTTCAATGGAGTGATGGAGGGAGACCATTGTATTCCATGGCTTTTAGTGACTCATGACAAAGTCAAACAAGTAAGCATTCACTGAGCGAGGACATATATTGTAGAAGGAGGCAGACGGTATACAGAACGCTTCTAGATAGATCCGACCAGGTAATATTGACCCGTTCCTTTCTAGGCGCAAATCTTTGCGTGCATTTATTAAAGGATGCTAATTATTGGCATCTGTATATGTGTCATGTCGCTGATAACAGATCTTCGTTAAAATATTTTGATTATAGCAATGATTTGACAGCAAGCAAATGAATTCATTTTGGTAAAAGTTTCATAATATAAATTGAAATGAGTATTTTATGCCTATGTTTGAAATAATTTTATACTTTTTATTTAGAATGTCAACGCCATCTAGCAACTCAACAAATGGAGCTACCAACGCGAAAACACCTAATCGCAGAAGACATGCAGTCAATGATGACGATGATGATTTTATATTATCAAACAAATCATCGTTTTCACGTCTGAAGGAACAGTTGAAAGAACTGGACAGGAGATCATGGCGGCGTTCTTTTGAACCAGGCGATAAAGATTTGGACAGTTCTTCAAGTTATAATAAGAGAGCACAAGGCTCTTATAAACCTTACAAAAATGGCGACAATTCTTCCGAAAACGAATCTGGGACTTTTGCATTTGGAAGCGAGGAAAACGACAAGGAATTGGAAGACCTTCATAAGAGGATTGCTGCCGTCAGGGCCCGTTACCTGGAGCCTAGAGATGAGCCAAAGTCCAGAGTGCATGAAAATAGAGCTGCGTCTAGGATAAGAGTAAGAGAAAGTAATTATCACACACTGCCAAAAGATGAATCTCCCTCTCCAACCAGAGCTCCAGTTGTAACGATTACTGATCACGACGCTGCAGAGGCCTCTGTCTCTGAAAACCCAAACAGGGGACATGCAGGAGCTGAACTTAACGTAGCAAATGACTTGAATACTTCATCAAGCGAAACTTTTTTGGCATATTTAAAGCCTAGGTCACCTGTCAACTCACAAAAGAGCGTTGATCACCATTATAAAGCCAAATATTTAACCCCCCTCCTGTACGATTTTCACAACCCACCGCGATCTCTGTCCAACTCGCCTGCTTCGCCACTTTTTTCTAGGAAATTAGATGATGGTGACGCTGATGACGACTTTCAAGGAAGGAGAGGGTCAATCACCAATGGCCTTCCAAGCAGCGACGTTCACGATGCCGACAGCTTCTTGTTCCCATCTTCAAGGCGAACGAGCTTCAGTACGACTGACTACAAATATTCCACCCCAGAATATGCATCGAGATATCTACGCAAGGAGGACATAAAACCGCGTTCCAGTTACACACCCCGTGCTACGTCTTTGAGGAGTAATAACCCTTATATGTCACCGGTTAAGTCGCGTTATTCTTTAGATGGCTACACGACTCCGACATCGAGTTTGGTCTCGTCGAGAAAAGTATACTCTTCAGATCCCGACAGTTACACCTACACCCCAGTGCGCAGAGGCAGTTTGGAGAAAAGAAATTCGCCTGGTAGTTCTTTCAACAATGACACTACTCATAGCCCTTCCAGTTCTAGAAGCAACAGGAGACGCAGTAGCTTAACATTTGACACAGATACTTCGTACAATAGAAAATCTGTAGATGAGGCTGTAAGTTCGGAGAAAGAGGGCCGTCTGAAAACACGCCTTCCTTTCACAAGGCAAAAACATAGAAGAAGCAACGAGTCCGAAGATAATTTATCGACTGGAGAGGAAGATGGAAGTGATCACGAGAACAATATTTCAGTGGAAGAGCCAGGAAGATGGGTTGGAAAGTAAGTTATTAATTTTATTTATTCGCCACCGGGGAAAGGCGAAAAAGAGAAAAAGAGGGGAGACGCATCCCATAAAACATTATGATATTCATTAAAACAATGAGTAAAGATTGTCAGTATATAAGACATTGATATCATCGTCCATTATCTTAGTTAAAAAGTTATGTTAAGAAGAAATGTGGACTTTATGATAATATGAACATTAAATATATTGAACACAGCAGATTTTCTCCACTGGAATTTTCTGAAGTGCATTATTTTCGTGGGGAGAGAAAACGCTATTAGTAAACGGATAAGATGAGTTTCTTTTTATTTTACTGCAATTAGACTGGTCGCAAGGATATCACCAGTATTGATAAATATCCTCAATGCTTGCGTGAAGCATTGTCATACATCAAAAAGAGCATTATTATCAACTGTAATATTAAACGCATATAATTTTACATGTGTATTTAGTGTGAAGATTAGTTTTTTCGAAAGCACTGGGTTCAATAATGAAGGCAATAATGATATGATTTACTGTTATATTTCAGCGGATACATAGTTGACACGGCGCTTCTTACTGCAGATCGCGGATATTTACTGTGGACGCATCCGAAGGGAAAAATGGACGTCGTGATCAGATATGAAGACACGAAGGAAGATTTCAGGTTGTTATTCCCTTTATCCCTCCCCTCATCTACCCTCAGTGCCTCTGCCTTGAGATATATATATACTTCTAGTAATTACTGCAACAGTTAAGGATGTTAAATTATCATAGAATGATGAATATTTTTTATACAATGATTGAAAGTCCCTAGACTAGATGCAAAATTATTTCAAATGTAAATTAAGCGATTTTAGATTTTTCAGCAACCCCTGGGCTCTGCACTATCACAATATATTGTATTAAATTGTGCCCATTCTTTTCTTATTTGACAATATTACGAAAATCGGTTGGTAACAATCGACAGGGTGAATAATTCAGGTTGTGGCTTTAAATTATTCGCAACATCATTGAAATCAGACTGAAAACTTTTTTCTTCATAGAAAAAATAACATCCACATCCTCATCCATTCCAGTTGCTTCATAGACCCGCAGTACCTCGGTGTAGCGGTATATCAGATTAAAAGCAAGACCAACAAACGCCAGATAGTCGATGGTATAGAGAACCCGCTGTACAGTAAAAACCCTTGTCACAAGACATCGCCCTCCAGAACGCGTCCTGAAAATAATTTTGAATTAAAATCCATCGACGGAGAGGTCAAGCTACATTTAGAGGTGTTGAAGGGAAAACATGCTCCTAAACCACAGTTGCCTTTCAAAATCAACTACACCTTAGCTTTGTGAAGCTGTCAAGGTGAAGAAATATTAATAAAAACATCTTAACCACGCAAAACCGTGCCATTCACCGCTGTGAATAGAAAAAGAGATCGAGGAATGTATGCCAGCGCAATATTAGAAACTTGAGACCGCATAGGGAGTAATAAACCTGGAAAATCCGTAATACTTGATCGACTTTTTGGAACTATTTTTCTTAAGAAAAGTTTGGATTAAGATTATCATTCAGAAGTTGGAAGAATGTCGATTTTCAATTGTGGATGGAATCGTTTAAACCTTAATACATTTCAAACACAACTGTCTGTAATACAACCCTGACGTTAGAAACCGGACGCCGCCGTCAACTAGGATAAAGTGTGTTCTTCTCACCACCCTTTCCCTGCAAAACGAACATAAAACACCCTTTCGGTGGGACAATACTTAGTTTACGTCAGCAGTGGCTCATACTCACAGCTGTTTTTTTTTTTCAGGTGAAATTTTGTGGCTGTAAGAAGTTATATATATTTTAGTATTGTCATTTGCTACATACGATCACAATTCCTGCAAATAAAGCTGAAGCAATCTCTATCGTCGTTTTACATTTTAACTTATGTCATGTGTAATAAATGGTGTATCAAAACGTGTCACTATCACAGTAATTATCAACCTACTGTACTTTCTTGACCACGAACGTTCCTCAAAACTATGACCTTCTTGGTTAAAGAAAAATGATCGTTTTAGAACAAAAAATATACTCAGATCATTTAGATTTGAGAACACTTGTTGTCAAATATTTAATCAAACGGCTTCCATATCCACTTTGAAAAGAGACTAAACATTTCACAATAGTTGATTTCAGTTATTATTTAAGAACCACAGTTGTAACAACTTTAATACAAAGCCAATTCTAATATGCAGAGTCTTAAATTAAATTAAATTGAAATAAACATTTTAACCATTAAGATGAGGTGCTTAATGAAACTGTACATTTGTCATGCAGAATTATCTTAACATAAGCTACAATATATATCATACCATAATATATGTTTCATCACAGCATTGACCTTACATGAAAGAATATTAGAGATCGACTGCACATTGAATGACATTGGGAAAAGAATGCATTTTCTCACATAAGTATAATTATATACCTTTTGTACTAAAGTTTTTCATCTTTGGACATTCAACCAACTGATTATCTGTCATTTTTGCTAGTTAATAAGACAAGTAACTTTTATTATTCTCAAAAATTGCTCTGGAAGCTTTCTTGAAAATGGTTCTAACCCTAATTATTAAGATAAATGTGTAACACATATTTGTTAACAAAAGACCAGCACACAACCAAATAATTCATCACAGATTAAATAGGAATACTGTTTTTTGGATACAGAACTGTAGTTCAATGCTGTTGATAGACATTCAACACTATTTGTGAAAGGAAGACACACATAGCAGATAGGTTTCTGTTCAAAAGAACTTTTGATATTTGTGCATTAATTAAGTTTTAAGCATAGCACGCATCATATGTAACCACATCCCCATGATATATTTATCTTCATGCCCAAGAATTCAAAACCAACTTTTAATGGTCATGTATTTGTTTCATTACATTAGTCTAATTCTAATCTATCAAGTTATCAAAATATCACATTGATGGCATAGAATTTGATTTACCCTGATAAAAATGAAGGTCTTATACTTTATTCAAGTCCAATGCTGCCTGTTCATACATTACCCACAGACTTGAATATGGCACAAACTACTGTGATTTCTTTTCACAGTACTGAATTACAGCAAATTCTCCAGTAACCATCCACCTGGCAGTGTGCTTGCATGCCACTCTGTCCTGCCCCTCCAAAAGTCCAACAACAACATCTGCTTTAAGAGTACGAAGAGCACACAAGGCTGATGGTCGGAAACCTCTGAGGGCGACATCAAAAGGGGTAGTGTGTGGCCAGTTCCTGTCTCCAACCAGCTTCCTGTAGTTCAAATCTCCCTTGAAGAGTATCAAGTCTGATTTGCTGAGGTCGGCATAGAGGTCTGGAGCAATGGTCTCCATGTCATGGTAATCATGGGGCAGGGTCCAAAAGTCATGCTCCTTGATGATCCATGAGCCGTCAACCAGCCTCTCCTCCCACATTTGACCAAAGTCAGCCATGGCCTTGTTGTCCGATGTCCGACACGTCTCCAGAGTCCATATGAAATCCTTTTTAGTGGTGTCAGACACAAACCATGGGAAGCGTTTTGGATGGAAATGCACCTCACTAACCATCTTTGATGTTAACAGAAATTCAGCTAGGCACATGTCAGAAATCAATTCAAACCCTGCATTGTCTAGAACTATATCCAGCCTCACTGAGCCATCTTTACGTTTATTTAGCTTGTGAAGGTCATCCCACATCTGGTTCAAGTTGTCAACAAGTAAAAAAGAACGGAAGACATCCAACATGGCGATAGGGCTTTCAGTCTGGAAATTATCATGGCCTGCAGAAATGGACAGGTCACATTTGTTGCCCCACAAGTCCAGCTGAAGAAATATCGGAAACAAAATAAGATGTTGTTGAATTAATTAATACACAGACACATATATACATATAGAAATTCAGGACACACACACACACAAAAAATCATAAACCTTACCAATGAAATAAAGTACTAAATTGTTCTTTCAAGGAAAGGATATATTTACTTAAAACTTTCCATACATGATCAACAAAGCCTCTGCCAGAAAATATATTGAGAAAAAAAACTTTCTTGACAATTTTACCTCAAAAAATTGGTCAAAGAGTGGTCTAAACTTTGAGTCATCCATGCTTGGCAGATTTCCGAGAATTCCTTCCAAAAATTCCATCAAAATGGACACAGCATCTGCTGATGACAATAAGGCCTGGTCCTTCTGCCCTTGAAAAGGGTCCAGTGTCTTCAAGACTTTGCTGAAATATAGACTTATATCTTAACATCTTTACATACAATACCAGCTATAAGAGTGAATATTTTTGTCATCCTGTATAATTAGAATGAGAAATATGTATAAATCAAATTCTGGAACTTACAATTAGCAACTAACCAACAGGTCTGGTCAACTGACATGAAAAGTATTACACTTAGTATTGCTGCACTATTGAAACTTCCTTTATAACCTTATTAAATACACCACTTACATGAACTAAATCTATAGAAGGACAACATGCAAAGGAAAATCACACTTTTCCCTGCTTTAATGCTGTTGTCACTGTAAGTATCTGTCCCCATTATATCTAAGTTTGCAATGTGCCTAATACACAAGAACAGAATTATCAGTATATACCATTCTTCAACTGCTTCCTGAATTCTCCTATACATGTAGCATTCTACATAGAGCCAAGCATCTTGGAACCAACTTGGTGTACGGCCATCATTATCACGAGTTATTTTCTCCAGATAAGCATTCCAGACCTCAAAGTTAAGCCTGCCATCATGAATTGGGATTATTGCTTTGTCAGTCTGAACTTCATTTCTTAGTTTAGACAGTTTCCCATTTATAGATTTCAAATCTTCCATTCCAGCCTGAAGCAATAAATTATTGCATATAATTGTGAATTTAAACCATATAGAGCAGTAGGTGATAATCAACAGCACTGCATCCTTCTCAATGTCAATTAACTTGAAAAAAGTCTGCCAAGAGAAAAAAATATTACAGGATTAAAAAAATGAAATACAAAAATTTTACTTCCGCAGAAAATGTAAGTGGTTACAGTAATTGTTGCAATGAAAAGTATAATGAACCATTCAACTTGTACAGTTTTTACTTAGCAAATTAATATCTAATTGTGAAATAAAATGGAATCATTCTCACCTCTCCATGTTGCTCTTTTATATCATTCTTCAGCCTATGAACAGCATCCACTGTCTTTGCTAATATCACAGGCAGTCTATCCTTGATTGTCTCATATGCAAATGAACTAAAAATTTAACAAATATTGATGTTATTTGATGATGTTGATAAAAAATTATGATCAAAAGAAATCATGAAATGTATAAATGAAAAAGCTATNACATATATACATATAGAAATTCAGGACACACACACACACAAAAAATCATAAACCTTACCAATGAAATAAAGTACTAAATTGTTCTTTCAAGGAAAGGATATATTTACTTAAAACTTTCCATACATGATCAACAAAGCCTCTGCCAGAAAATATATTGAGAAAAAAAACTTTCTTGACAATTTTACCTCAAAAAATTGGTCAAAGAGTGGTCTAAACTTTGAGTCATCCATGCTTGGCAGATTTCCGAGAATTCCTTCCAAAAATTCCATCAAAATGGACACAGCATCTGCTGATGACAATAAGGCCTGGTCCTTCTGCCCTTGAAAAGGGTCCAGTGTCTTCAAGACTTTGCTGAAATATAGACTTATATCTTAACATCTTTACATACAATACCAGCTATAAGAGTGAATATTTTTGTCATCCTGTATAATTAGAATGAGAAATATGTATAAATCAAATTCTGGAACTTACAATTAGCAACTAACCAACAGGTCTGGTCAACTGACATGAAAAGTATTACACTTAGTATTGCTGCACTATTGAAACTTCCTTTATAACCTTATTAAATACACCACTTACATGAACTAAATCTATAGAAGGACAACATGCAAAGGAAAATCACACTTTTCCCTGCTTTAATGCTGTTGTCACTGTAAGTATCTGTCCCCATTATATCTAAGTTTGCAATGTGCCTAATACACAAGAACAGAATTATCAGTATATACCATTCTTCAACTGCTTCCTGAATTCTCCTATACATGTAGCATTCTACATAGAGCCAAGCATCTTGGAACCAACTTGGTGTACGGCCATCATTATCACAAGTTATTTTCTCCAGATAAGCATTCCAGACCTCAAAGTTAAGCCTGCCATCATGAATTGGGATTATTGCTTTGTCAGTCTGAACTTCATTTCTTAGTTTAGACAGTTTCCCATTTATAGATTTCAAATCTTCCATTCCAGCCTGAAGCAATAAATTATTGCATATAATTGTGAATTTAAACCATATAGAGCAGTAGGTGATAATCAACAGCACTGCATCCTTCTCAATGTCAATTAACTTGAAAAAAGTCTGCCAAGAGAAAAAAATATTACAGGATTAAAAAAATGAAATACAAAAATTTTACTTCCGCAGAAAATGTAAGTGGTTACAGTAATTGTTGCAATGAAAAGTATAATGAACCATTCAACTTGTACAGTTTTTACTTAGCAAATTAATATCTAATTGTGAAATAAAATGGAATCATTCTCACCTCTCCATGTTGCTCTTTTATATCATTCTTCAGCCTATGAACAGCATCCACTGTCTTTGCTAATATCACAGGCAGTCTATCCTTGATTGTCTCATATGCAAATGAACTAAAAATTTAACAAATATTGATGTTATTTGATGATGTTGATAAAAAATTATGATCAAAAGAAATCATGAAATGTATAAATGAAAAAGCTATATCAAAAACCAACCCATTTACTTTTGCCTTATCCCCATCATTGCAGCAATCCAATAAGATTCCAGCATATGAAAAGTTTACATGTACTAGTTTCATGCATTAATGCTCCCATTGATGAATACTGTATGTTCTATTTGTGATAAAAAGATTGTGAAAGATGAGGTGATGAGATCTTTTCCAAGGTCATCTTCTATATACAGTTCGTCTAGTTTTCAGCCTTACATGCTAGATTCTTACTGCACCATTTAAGGCAAAGACTGAGACAAGTATATAGTCAGATGGAAACTCCAAGGTCAGAGTGTGACATAGATAATTAAGGGGACTTTGCCTTAATGTTCAGACTTAATCTGCCAGCTGTGCCAAATAGTAGATAACAGCTTGCGCCAGTAACTATGGCCATAGAAGGACCGGCCATACAAGGTCATATTAAAATGTACAATACAGTTCAACATAGTGCAAGACACTAGGAAAATGACTACAGATGCGAGTAAACACAGGAACTGTCATTCCCAGGAAATAGGGTGAAATAAATTATAATATATTGCTAGGTATAATTACTATTGTTGATCCAACTACACAATTTGTTACGATTTGTTTATGAATTGTTGGGTTGCTCATTATACAGTAACTCAAGAAACACTATACACTAGTGGCTCATCTCGAGTTTTGACAGGGTAGAAGACCTGCCAATACAAATTGTGACCATCTGTAAAGTTGGATCTATGATATTATTTACCAGGCAGTATTATGAATATATTTTGATTTAATATATCACTCCATTTTCTTGGAAATGATTTTTTCCCGTTTACTCGCGTCCAGAGTAGTTTCCTGTAGTGTACTGCCCTGTGTTGGGCTGTTCTGCGCATTTTAGTATGACTGGGTCCTACTGCTACTGATAATGCCGGTAAAATTTAAAACAGCATGAGTGAGGCCGAGCATGAGATGATCTTGGGAAGTATCGCAACATGCTATAAAATGATTAAACAATGCTACAATATTAAAATAATTTAGCTATATCAACTTCAAGTATCAATTCTATTGCACTTACTCTTTAAATTTTGCAGACAGTGACGGTGGAAGCTTTTCAGTCATTTTCCCGTAGAACTTCTCTCACAGTGGAAACCTTCAATAGCTAGAAACGCAATCGTAAATTCGAGATGTTACGATGAATAGATCTTGAAAAATAATGTATCATTCCCAAGTAAGTGAGAAATCCAAATGAATATTGTAAATAATGATGATTAATCACATTTTAAAGATAATAAAAGTGAAAAATATCTCAAGTTGTATAAAATTGTATTTCTTTATCTTGTTTAACGTGCCATCGACTTTATAACGCGCATAACAGAAATTTTAGCCTCCATATATAAAAGAGCACTTCGCACCACGCCACAACCAGAGTCAAATAACGAGGCGTGAAGTGCGAGCTTCTTGGAACATGTTCTCGTTTCGAGGGCAATCTGTTTAGCCAGCACTGCTCAATACGCAGCACTCTACATGCCAGGGGCAAAGCTGGGTGGTAATGATGAGCGTGTTTGAAGTTTTACCGCTACATCATAACAGAAAGTACAACGAAGAATGTGCTAATCTTCTAAACTCGGAATGGGCTCGAAGCATGCAAGCAAGGTGCTTACTTTTCATATTTTTCTTTGTGGTCTAATGAGACACACATGTCGGATAGATTTTACCAGAACGGATATATGTTTGTGCTAGGTATAGCTTTGTTGGTACTAAATAATTTCACGGCGTGTTGGTTAATTTATAGGTTAAAGTGTGGTTAATTTGGGCGTTGTAACGCTTACTGCTAAAAGATCTGCTGGTAGTGTTAGTAAACGCATAATCTGTTTATAAGGCCTTATGTCTGTTTATTATAAATTAAACAGTCAGTTATAGGTCAAGTGATTTTTGTCTGTAAACTCATAACAGTTTATATTCTCTTTGTTTCTAAAGCTGAAAACATTTCCCTATATTACTGGTAGATTAGGTAAACTGTTTATCATACTGTATTTTAGGTTGCACAGTTTAGAAAAATCTTGTGATGAACTGCCTTTGTCCCTGGTGCTCATTGCCAAAGACTCAACAGGAAAGACAGAAGTTTTAGGCCACAGCAAAATATCTCCAGTTGTAGGGAGAAAAGATGCTTGTTTCATTGAATCAGGTGATATTATAACATATATAAATATCAATTATCTGAAAGCCTGCCCAGACTCCAGGGTTATCTAAGTACTGCAATAAATTGCACTACAGATAAGTTTGCAAGCAGCTTAATAGTTTTTATGGGAATCTATTGTATGTCAATGTGCCTTTTTCTAAATATTTTTTTTTTTCACACATGTAAGTACACCCACATTTATTCATTCACATTTATTGTATAACATAAACAGAAAATTTTATAATATAAAAAAGTAAATTTATTTGTGTGATGACTGATTTTTGCTACCACTTGTGGGTGAAAGGGCTCTAATCTCTATTACACTGACAAACCAATCATCTCCAACCTAACCTTTTAAAATATCAACCATCACCGCCATTTATTTGATATTTCTTGCAAAAGCATAGGTGACATTTGCCACGAACTCTGTATTTTGTCCTGAAGTAATGTGTTGTATATAATTTGTAGTTGTTGTTGCAAAAGCCAGAAGAGGGCAAGGACTTGGAAGAAAAATAATGGAAGGGACAGAGGAATATGCAAAAAAGTAAGTTGGGTGATATCCAAAACAGTGTATTTAAGATCTTAAGAAACATAAGAGTTGACCTCAATGTATTTCCCCTAAAATAAAGAAAAAATGTGAACTTTTGGTAACATCAAAACCACAAGGTATATTCTTAAAGACAAAAGTTGCTGAATTTTAAAGGACAATGTTCATGTAAAAATCCATTTCNTGTCAAAAACCAACCCATTTACTTTTGCCTTATCCCCATCATTGCAGCAATCCAATAAGATTCCAGCATATGAAAAGTTTACATGTACTAGTTTCATGCATTAATGCTCCCATTGATGAATACTGTATGTTCTATTTGTGATAAAAAGATTGTGAAAGATGAGGTGATGAGATCTTTTCCAAGGTCATCTTCTATATACAGTTCGTCTAGTTTTCAGCCTTACATGCTAGATTCTTACTGCACCATTTAAGGCAAAGACTGAGACAAGTATATAGTCAGATGGAAACTCCAAGGTCAGAGTGTGACATAGATAATTAAGGGGACTTTGCCTTAATGTTCAGACTTAATCTGCCAGCTGTGCCAAATAATAGATAACAGCTTGCGCCAGTAACTATGGCCATACAAGGACCGGCCATACAAGGTCATATTAAAATGTACAATACAGTTCAACATAGTGCAAGACACTAGGAAAATGACTACAGATGCGAGTAAACACAGGAACTGTCATTCCCAGGAAATAGGGTGAAATAAATTATAATATATTGCTAGGTATAATTACTATTGTTGATCCAAGTACACAATTTGTTACGATTTGTTTATGAATTGTTGGGTTGCTCATTATACAGTAACTCAAGAAACACTATACACTAGTGGCTCATCTCGAGTTTTGACAGGGTAGAAGACCTGCCAATACAAATTGTGACCATCTGTAAAGTTGCATCTATGATATTATTTACCAGGCAGTATTATGAATATATTTTGATTTAATATCACTCCATTTTCTTGGAAATGATTGTTTCCTGTTTACTCGCGTCCAGAGTAGTTTCCTGTAGTGTACTGGGGGGCGTCTCGATAGTCCGAAGGTTCATTGGTCCGAAGGTTCATTGGTCCGAAAAGTGGTTACATTTTCATCGATTTTTTAATCAAGGGTTCATTGGTCCGAAGGTTCTATAGTGAACATTCGGACCAATGAACCTTCGGACTATTGAACCTTCGGACTATCGCTACGGCCCCGTGTACTGCCCTGTGTTGGGCTGTTCTGCGCATTTTAGTATGACTGAGTCCCACTGCTACTGATAATGCCGGTAAAATTTAAAACAGCATGAGTAAGGCCGAGCATGAGATGACCTTGGGAAGTATCGCAACATGCTATAAAATGATTAAACAATGCTACAATATTAAAATAATTTAGCTATATCAACTTCAAGTATCAATTCTATTGCACTTACTCTTTAAATTTTGCAGACAGTGACGGTGGAAGCTTTTCAGTCATTTTCCCGTAGAACTTCTCTCACAGTGGAAACCTTCAATAGCTAGAAACGCAATCGTAAAGTCGAGATGTTACGATGAATAGATCTTGAAAAATAATGTATCATTCCCAAGTAAGTGAGAAATCCAAATGAATATTGTAAATAATGATGATTAATCACATTTTAAAGATAATAAAAGTGAAAACTATCTCAAGTTGTATAAAAATGTATTTCTCTATCTTGTTAAACGTGCCATCGACTTTATAACGCGCATAACAGGATGTTTTAGCCTCCATATATAAAAGAGCACTTCGCACCACGCCACAACCAGGGTCAAATAGCGAGCCGTGAAGTGCGGGCTTCTTGGAGCATGTTCTCGTTTCGAGGGCAATCTGTTTAGCCAGCACTGCTCAATACGCAGCACTCTACATGCCAGGGGCAAAGCTGGGTTGTAATGATGAGCTTGTTTGAAGTTTTACCGCTACATCATAACAGAGAGTACAACGAAGAATGTGCTAATCTTCTAAACTCAGAATGGGCTCGAAGCATGCAAGCAAGGTGCTTACTTTTAATATTTTTCTTTGCGGTCTAACGAGACACGCGTGTTGGATAGATTATACCAGAGCGGATATATGTTTGTGCTAGGTATCGCTAAATAATTTTACGGTGTGTTGGTTAATTTGTGGGTTTTGTGGTTAATTTGGGCGTTAGTCACTTCGTGCTAAAATATCTGCCGGTAGTGTTAGTAAACGCCTTTAGAATCTGTTTATTAGGCCTTATGCCTGTTTATTATAAATTAAACGTTCAGTTATAGGTCAAGTGATTGTTGATCTTTTTTGTCTGTAAACTCATTACAGTTTATAGTCTCTTTGTTTCTAAAGCTGAAAACATTTCCCTATTTTACTGGTAGATTAGATAAAGCATTTGTCATGCTGTATCTTAGGTTGCACAGTTTAGAAAAATCTTGTGATGAACTGCCTTTGTCCCTGGTGCTCATTGCCAAAGACTCAACAGGAAAGACAGAAGTTTTAGGCCACAGCAAAATATCTCCAGTTGTAGGGAGAAAAGATGCTTGTTTCATTGAATCAGGTGATATATTATAACATAAATAACATGTGTCATAAGGGCCTAGATTGCAACTGAAAGCCTGCCCAGACTCCAGGGCCCTGTAACTCAAGAGCATTGCGCATTGCGACCGAGCACAACCGTCTCAATTCCATAACTACACCATACTCGCCCGATAAAATAGCCTCGAAATAAAAGGTGATATCACGATTTGCAGTTTGCGATGTTTTCAAGTTACAGAGTCCAGGGTTATCTAAGCACTGCAATAAGTTGCACTACAGATAAGTTAAGAAGCAGCTTAATGCATGCTTTCTCTGGGAATCTATTGTATGTCATAGTAACTTTTTCTAAATATTGTTTTTTTTTCATACATGTAAGTATACCCACATATATTCATTCACATTTATAGTATAATATAAACAGAAAATTTTATAACATAAAAAACTAACTTTATTTGTGTGATGATTGATTTTTGCACATATGCTACCACTTGTAAATGGGTGGGTGAAAGGGCTCTAATCTTTTTTTTACACTGACAAACCTATCATCTCCAACCTAACCTTTTAAAATATCAACCATCACCACCCTTTATTTGATATTTCTTGCAAAAGCATAGATGACATTTGCCACGGACACTGTATTTTGTCCTGAAATAATGTAATGTTTACAATTTTTAGTTGTTGTTGCAAAAGCCAGAAGAGGGCAAGGACTTGGAAGAAAAATAATGGAAGGTACAGAGGAATATGCAAAAAAGTAAGTTGGGTGACATCCAAAACAGTGTATTAAAAATCTTAAGAAACATAAGAGTTGACCTCAATGTATTTCCCCTAAAATAAAGAAAAAATGTGAACTTTTGGTAACATCAAAACCACAAGATATTATCTTAAAGACATAAACGTTGCTGAATTTTAACGTCTAAACACAATCTGTTTCAGTCATGGCATCAAAACTACTTACCTAACTACTCATGATAAACAAGATTTCTATGAGCATCTTGGCTATGAATTTTGTGAGCCCATTTGTGCATTTACAGGAGGATCAGGGCTTCTCAGTGAGGACTCCCCACTGGTAATAGTTTAAGCTTATTTCTAGAACTGTTACAGTCAATTTTGGACTAATGCTTAACATATTTTTTAATTTGGCCACAAAAAATATTGGATGGATTCTTAATTTTGTGATAGTTATGATTAATGTGATTGATAATTGTCTTTGGTTTAAACCTATGGGAATCCATCTACTAGTATTTTATTGAAAGAATTGAATTCAGAAAAAAAAACAACCCTAACATACAAAATCTATTAAAAATTTATACACAGATTTATTATATCAGTGTATATACTAACAAGTTTTGCATATAGTGATTTAAGAAATTAAAAGGTTTTAATTTGTGAATATGTTTTGTTAAAATTTTTATTATTTATATCTTAATTCCAGTTTCAAGCTTTACAAAAGAATACAAAAGACATGTCAATAAAAGAACAAGTTAAATCCAAGACAAAAAACTGTGTAGAAGACAGAAGTCACAAGGAAGGGAAGGTTCAGAATACTCCACAGACATTGTCTACAGTCTCTCCAGCTCCCCCTCCCCCTCCGCCTCCACCACTGCCTCCGCCCCCTCCTCCACCGACATCTTCCAGTCCTTCAGGTCAACAGAAATTGGATGACTCAAACATCTCCTGGATGTGTAAACAGCTGACTAGTATGTAATATTTATAAGAAATATATGTGAGATAAGCCGTCCATTTTATGCCAGTTATTTTTATACAACATATGCATGTGTATGTACCCGTATCATCACTATGTTTCAGATTGCATGACAATTTCTGCAAATATGTGAAGGGATAGTAACTGCAGTGTTTATTATTGAACAGTGGCAGTTTTGATACTGATTTTATCATACATTTGAAAAAAAAAATCATATTTTAAGTTCTCATGAAAAATATGGTTAGTTCAGTGGTTGTGAAAAATCTTTGTGTAACAGTTTTGAATAGAGCTTTCTCCAAACAAAATGAATAGAATGAATATATGAATTAAGATTAGGTCATCTGTAGACACTGATGCTTTTTGATGCATGTACTGCTTATACAAGGTTTATAGATGTGTGGTTAAGGTGAGGGCAATGGAAAATAGTCCATTTATTTTTCCTTTCCCAGTATGTGCTCCTCAGAGCCCAATCACCATATGTTTAGAAACAATTTATTTCAAATTTAAAGTTAAGAATTGGTGTGAAAACAGTAATTGGCTTCTTAAGGGGACAATTTCCTGAAGTGTGCTTTAACATTAAAATTTAAAGGTTTTGAGCCATCTGGTGATTGCCCACCCAGGCTTTGTGAACATAGTGGCTGTTTGTAAACTTAAACTTTCAGTTTGTGAGCATTCTGGGTTGATAAAAAGCACCCATATTTATGCAGCTAGCAACCTGGAAGTAAGCTGGCCAAATTGCTCTTTGATGTGTTACTCAAGATCACTTATTGTAATTGAGAAATAAGGGCAATTATCTTTTATGAGGCCTACCACAAGATGTTGGATGTCAGTTACATGCCTGAATCATGATGGATTTGTTGGAATTAAGCTTAGGTATAATCATACCAACTGCATATTCTGGAGCTAATTCCCTACAGATTTCCCTTAAAATACCAGTCTCCCCAACATACAATCTGCTCAGTTATTGAGCCACTAGAATGAATGAGAGATCCAATGAACTCAGAATACTCCTTGGTGTAATCAGTTTCCATTTTCAATTGTGAAGCTATTTCAACCAACACGGAACAGCAAATTCTTTGCTTCTTGTCATAATGGGGTCCTCTTTTCTGAATGGTAAAAGCATTTCTTAGTAGCTGTCATCTGTTTCATGAATCCCCCCCCCCTCTCAAGTTGATGAATAAAGTGACAATCTTCTTGTGATGGTCAAATGAATTTAGCCTCTGGTCATTAAGTTCAAACATTTGTAACACACGATTTGGAATGAAAATTTCCTTGATATGGTTGAGGAAGCAGAACATTACTCAGGGTTTCCACTAGATTTTGCACAAAAGGGTCATTTTGACCCCCACTTTTTAAAAATGGGGGTCATTTTCAAAAGTTAGGGGTAAAGAATTTATAAGTTTAAAATAACGTGTTGTTAACACATGCTCAGAAAAACTTGCTAAATTCATATTCCTGTGAACATGGGGCACTCTGCCACCAGACCATCCCTGTCAATGACAGACCTTATCATGTGAAAGCTGTAGGTGACCAGGGTCATTTAAAGAATGTCACTAATGGAACTTTCTGACCTTTACTGACATTTGCAAAAAACAAAAAGATAATATTTCACTGAGGACTGAGATAAATGTGCATCAAATGGATTCAATACATATTAAATTGGGGGTCAATTTTGATAAAATAGCATCAGGGATGCACAAAAATTGCACTAACGGGAACCCTGAAATTTACTTTCTCACCACACCTCACTACACTAGTTCACTGATGTTGTCAAATCTGAGGACCCCAGACAGGTCATTATACAGTGACTGGCAGCTATGGAATCAACTTCATCAGATTAGATTGTTCCCTTTCCCACTATGCATATTCTGGCCCAAAAACCTTGCAATTAGAGTAGTTTCTGCTGACAAATACCAGTCTCCCCAACATACAATCTACTCAAGTTGACTGTATATACGTACTCATATGTTAATGCGCAAAGATATTGAGTCACTAATAAGATTAACTTAAAAGACAAGCATTAACTTGCAAAAATCCTGAGTATCATTGTTAATATTATCTGTATTCAAATTTAATTTGGATTATTGATGCTATAGTAGAGGAAAGCAGTGATTTAACTCTGATGTCTGAATTTGTCTCAAACAGTTCGATATCTGCTACAAAGCATATCTATTTATGGCATATTCTTTATACTGTGTTTTCTTTGATTGGTGGATTTGTTTTTCAAACACAAACACACTAATCCTATTTTTTTTCTGCAGTGTAATTTCTATTGACTGGCTTCTTTTGTATGTATCTGTCACACTACATCTTGATATCTTTTATTGTCCTTTGCTTCAGAGGACACACAAACTTAACACTTGATGCTGCAATACATAGTCTTTTATTTAATTGCTCTCAGAACTCCAATAAGAACTGTTGGTTAGGACTTATAAATTTTAGTACTTTACTAATTCTCATAAATGGTCATCTCATTGCCATGGAATTGATGTTTTTATCTCATATGACAGATGCATACCTCTGTGTCATTGCAGACAACACTGCCGAATCATCAGGTGGTTGTACTCCTTCTTAGCAACTGCTTCCTTCCTGATGCCCAAGTCAGTCTGTGGACTCTAAAATAGTATTTGTTTGCATATGCCTCTTATGATGGACATAGAGAGAGTCTCTGTAGTAGTGTGTGTGGCCTTGTATATTCATAAGGCTGTGATGAGGCCAACCCTATACTGACCCCACTTCACAGACTTCGCTTGCTCATGTGTTACGCTTACCACATATGATGCCTGTGATGGGGTCACATTAATGTCCACACTGTCTGCATGTGCCAGTACTTCTTCATATGAGGCATCCCTCAAACTATCATTCCTGACTGACTTAAGGTCAACTGGCCAATCACCTTCCAGTGACAGACAGGACAACAGCAGTTAATTTTTCAACAGCACACTGTAGACTGCTTCAATCTCACGTTTTGTGGGTGACGGTATATTATTTGGGTCCTTTATGGGATGAACAAGTGCCAAACAATCCCTCCACTTTTTATTTGCTGACTGTAAGTCTAACTCTCAAATTCGTTTGTATGGATGTTCCAACTACAAGAAGAAAATAAAAAAGATCTTTAAAATACTAGCAATAACACATGTACATTTTTCATATGGACATTGGAGTAAAATGATAATTAACCATGCCTAAAAGAAATTTCACACACAAATTATATTCATAACATCTGTTTGATGCAGATTTAATCATATTTAATATAGTAATGCTACTTTGGCAATGCCTTTTTATGGTCCTCTTCTAAGTCTTAAATCCTGTAGTATATTGCCCTGTGGGTGAGGGATACTTTTTTTTTTATATACCAAATACAGGATGGAATAACTCTACGGTTACCAAGAGTTGGTCTGTTATTCTGCCATATTATATAAATGCATTATGCATTGTGCCTCATCGCAGCATTGTCCTCTTTTCCTGGCTGCCTGTCTTCATTTTGAAAACCTAGAATGTCCCCCTTGGCCACCCTAATTATTCCCAGGTGGAACTCGTCTGTTATATCCAACTTAATAACATATGAATAAAAATGCACAGAAATGTCCATCACACTTGTGTAGTAAAGCCCGCCGCACACAGAACAATTTTTTGTTGGCTGATCGGTCGTCCTGGATGAGATCAGCGCACACACACACGACAAGCTGTCGCAACGAAGCGCCAAGTGGTGTGGTGAAAGTGACGTATCTCGTCCGCGAGGTGGGGTGTTGTTTCAAAATGGCTGTAATTTCGCTGAAAAATAAAAAAAAAACTAATACTAATAGAAAATTATAGGGCCTTCAAACATACTGACCGGTCATACCGACTTCCTTTGCTATGTCGAACCAAGCTGCTGCCTTTTTCACTCGGTTTCCAACTCGTGACCAAAATGCCCTCTTTTTCAATGGACCACTCACCATTCAAAATTTCTTCACCTGTACTTTCCTCACGGCTATCACTGGGGGCATCCATATTGAATTCTGGCATGGGCACGTGATATCAGATGGCGCAACCATTGGCTGAAGATAATGATCAGCCCGACAAATTGTCGTAGGAAAGCGCACACACTACGGTACGACGTTTAAAAATCAAACATGTTTGATTCTCTCCCGACTAGTTGAAAAGTTGTCATGGAGCAGCGCAGACGGGCCGATATTTTGTCGTAAGTGTGTCGGCCGACGAAAAATCGTTTTGTGTGCAGCAGGCTTAAGCAATTGCTGCTCTACACAATATGTCCTGTGTCAAAACCCATATATTTCACTGTAGGTGAGGGATACTTGTACCACACACAGCATGATGGGATGATTTGACTCTATGGTCACCATGAGTTAGCCTGTTATACTGCCGCATTATATAACTGCGGTAGGCATTGTGCCTTATCGCAGCATTGTCCTCCTTTCCTTGCTGCCTATCTTCATTTTGAAAACCTAGAATGCCCCCCCCTCCCCCGGCTACCCTCATACCCAGGTGGAACTTGTCTGTTATATTCAACTCCATAACCTGTAAATAGAAATACAAAGAAATGTACTTCACACTTGTGTAATAAGCAATTGCCATGATTCTGAGACAAGTAGGAGATGGCCTGTTTCCCTTCTTATCATCCATGAAGAGGGTCCCTGAGATGTAGAGTTTTGATACTGGATATTTCTCATTTGCGGTTTCAATCAACGTGGTGGTTTTCTTAATAATTGTGTGTGGTATTTTGTAATTTTCTGAGTTATTTACTCTGTCCACAAAGGAACAAGCTTTAATATTTTCACTTTCGAGTGCCAGAGTTTCTGATAAGGGAGTGTTGTTTATCATAAAGACGTCAATGTTATCTTATTTGTATATAGCCTGTACAGGTCTACACTGATCTCTCCAATTTTGGCATTATAATGAGCTTTTATGTCTGCAGGTAGCGACTCCCTGTAAGGAATTGACTTCCTCTCCATAACAATAACAAAAAAGTAACAAATAAGCAACCAACAGAAATACAATATCCTACTACAGGCAAGTCTAGGGTAGCCTAACACCCGGGCAAGTCTAAGTCTACCATCTTCTTTTTCATACAGATATATCTGGGAACGGGTGGCGTAACAAACACCCATGCAGTATGCAAATGTTGGTAAATACAATGTATTTATCATTTTTCACCTTAGCAATATGATCTTCCATATCTATACATTCAGTGCTTGAACCACAAAAGTTGTCATATGTTTCCTGGGGCAGTGCATCAAAGTATGGCGTGTTTTCAGTGTAGAATTCCCTTAGGATTCTAATAAAGGTAATAATAGAATTTCTTACCTTAACAGCTCTTTAGCTTGATCTTAATAGACACTAATACATGGAATCTCAGAATAGCACGTCTTCTCATACAGAAGTATGGGCATTCAATTCTCCACCAGCCTCACTCTCAGTCATGTCATGCGACCTGCCTTTCCAGATCAAGACGCAAGTCTAGGGTAGCCTAACACAAATCTAAGTCTACCATCTTCTCTTTCATACAGATATATCTGGGAACGTGTTGCATAACAAACACCCATGCAAGGTCAAAGGTCACAGCTCAGGTTTGGAAGTGCCAAAATTTTCTCCGTGGATTTATCCCTTTTGGCGAGTAAGAAGCGGATCTGGCAGCAATCAGACCAATGCAGTGTATGTATGAACATCACGGGAGTCACTAGAATACCTTTTTTAAAGGTAAAAGTTGCTGTCTAATATGTTATTTTGAGACAACAAAATCATCAAACTCGTATGACATTATACCGCTGAGACAGTGAACACTATTCGCCCTAATTACGCAATAAGTCGACTTGCACAAAGACCACCAACTGAGATAACCAATCAACTGACTTATCATAGAACATGAACACAAAGGGAATTCCAAACCGTTCTTTTAATATGAACGAATGACAATGTCAAAATAATAACGTGGGCAAATATTTGACAATAAAATACACTCGGCAGGCTTTTGACCCATCAAAGAAAATTGAAAAATACGATAACCATGGCTGCCAGATCAAAATGTAGTGTAAAAAGTGGGAAAAAATACAGTCCTCCACCGCAACCGCCTAAACCTAAAAGAACACTAAGCGAGTTATCGAGCACAAGTGATGAAAACAGTCTGCAGATACTTACAGAGTTAGAAGAAATAAAATGTGTTCTAGACAAAACTGTTAAAATCGAGGACTTAAAGGAAATAGTGAAAGGTGTGATACAAGAAACGATGACAGAATTGAGGAAAGAATACGAAGAGCGCATGAAATCTTTTGAACAAAAGCACATCGAGGAGAGGAGAAAACTACAAGATCAAATCGACGGGATGAACCTCGAGGTCCACAATCTGAGGGAACGGCTCTCTGAAAAGGATAAAGAGGTGAGAGATCTAAAAAAATCAATGAATGAATGTAGAACTCTCTCCATGGAAGCTAGCTCTCGTGCTAACAGAAACGAACAATACTCTCGGAAAACCAATGTCAAAATATACGGTATCACAGAAACATTGAATGAAAACATAAAGGAGAAGGTGAAAGATATGATGAAAACGGTCGCAAAGATAGAAATCAAAGATGATGAAATTATGGCTTTACATAGAATCCCAGGAAAGCCAGGAGAAACTCGACCAATAATAATGAAAGTGAAAAACACGGAAATCAAATCAAAAATTATGAAAAAGCGCAAAATAGTGAGGCAATCCGGCAATGCTTTAAAGATTTCTGATGACGTTACTGCGGCCAACACAAAACTTATCCAACGCCTAGGACAATTTGAAGACATTCAAAATGCCTGGTATTTCAACGGGAGCGTGTATGGCCAACTTGTGAACAGCGAATCGAGAATAAGATTTGATATACACGATAATCTTGACGATAAAATTAAAAGATCAGTCAGAAAATCTTAACTCTAAACAGCTAAAGACTGTCTAACACTTATTTAATTGATTTTCTTTAATGTTACTTCTTCTTCGCTGGGAATTTAACCATGCATTTCTACAATTATAGATAAAATTTACTCTTTTAAGAAGACGCAGAGGGGACATGAAGATTGCGTAAGACTGCTTGTGAGCAGGTCAGGTACTTATAGTCACAGCAATTAGATCTCTCTCGTTACAAATAGATAGCGCTCAGCATATGCATGACATACGATTACCAACACATGCACGACTGGTGCTGAATAATAGAACACTCATCTCCTTTATATTCACGTCTGATTTTTGTATCTAGGAATAGACTGAGTGGAGAAGAATAACGAACAGACCTAGCAAGAGCAAGAGGAGGTCGGTGCTGAATGTCGGGTGGTCCTCACACAGCAAAAAACTAGCCAAGCCAGGTAACTAGCAATACAAATAACAACTCGCTGCTATCATAATTTTCTTGTAAGAAAAATACCAGCTGAGGTTCAAAGCTGTGTGATGACTTCCCCGATAGCAAGTGCCGAACTCTTAGGTAAATATTTCACTCTAGCCTGTGAACGTGACATTAACAGTATAAAAATTGTAATCGACTTGCCTTATTATTACCTTATATGTCCAGCTTAATTATGTTTATTTCATTTTCAGTTCATTACCATCATATGTTATCCGCCTTCAGGGACGGATCCAGAGATATTTTCGGACAGTCTTCTAAATTATCTTGTTAATCCATCCTCCATTTTTGACTGTCTTCCGACAGAAAACATTAGATACCCGTCAATGTAAACTTAAAAATCTGACCGTCTTCCGGAACACCCAGAAGACGGCCTAAATCCGCCCCTGGCCTTCATTATGTTTTTTTTGGCTTGCCATATAATAATATTACCTTACATGTCCAGCTTCAGTATGTTTATTTCATTTTCATTTGATTACCATTATATGTTATCCACCTTTATTATTACAAGTTTTCTTACTTCAGTATAACCTAACTAATGTACATGTACACCCATTTGTTATTATTATTATTGTTATTATTATTTATTTATTTTTAATTTTTATTTTCTGGTTTAGTACAATGTATGTTCGTCTTCTATACAAGTGCATGTATTAGTAGCCGACTGTATCTAACTAAGATAGCCAACCCTAACATGTCCATTGTTATTATTACTATTTTTGTTTGTTGTGTGACCTTAATTGGGACATGTATTTAGTCTTTTTATGCATGTTCTTCTACTTGACATGTTTGTCTTTGCTATGTATCACGTTTAGTTGTACATACATATGTGTGTCTTTGATCGAGTCCATCACACACTTTTTTTTTCCTGATGTAACATTGAATGGATTTATGTGTGACGGAAACCCTTGTGGATGGATAAATGACCAAGTCGTTGAATTGAGATGTCTGAAGAGGATGCAAACTGGTGTGTGTATGTATGAAAACGAGAATGCGAGTGAAAGTCGGTGTGCGTACGTAAATGAATCAGTGAGAATCAGGTTGATACTTATGTGTACCAGCACAACTACCGTACAGTATATATCAAACATTTGTGTATACATAATTCTACTTTTTGTAAAACGTAATATATTTTCTGCCGGATATAAATATGCGGCAGAAAATCCCAAGTTTGACATGTTTGTCTGGATGGTTGATGGCACGGAGCAAATGACCCAACATAAACATTCTGCTACACTTTTCGTCCTCAATATCTAAACATGAACTCGATTAAAGTAGGTAGCTTGAATTGCAGGGGCTTATCCTCGGACCCAATTAAAAGAAGGGATTTCTTTGTCAGAAGTAGAGAAAAATATGACGTAACATTCTTAATAGATACTCACAGCACAAAGAATAACGAAATACTTTGGAGGCAAGAGTGGGGCGCAGATGTCAGATTCTGCTCATACAAGTCAAATAGCAGGGGGGTGGCAATTCTTTTCAGAAACACCTTTGAATATAAGATATTTAATGAGATAAAAGATCCAGAAGGAAACTTTCTTATTTTGGACACCCTTATGCAAGGCACACGAGTCTCGCTAGTTGCCTTGTATGGACCTAACAATGATAAGCCCTCGTTCTTTAAAAATCTCCAAAATAGACTACAGCTTTTAGATAATACTTCAATTATCATTGCAGGTGATTGGAATGTCCCTTTGGAATATGAAATGGATACACTGAATTATCTACATAAAAATAATACGAAGTCGAATGAAGCCATAAAAAACATTATGTATACTTTTGATCTGACGGATGTGTGGAGAGAACTTCATCCTTTAGAAAAAAGATATACATGGTTTGGGCCATCTCATAAACGGGCTAGACTAGACTATTTTCTAATATCCTCAGATCTACAGAATAATTTAAAAAAGGCAGAAATTGATTTTGCTTATAAATCAGACCATTCTCCAGTAACGATTGAATTGAAATTTTTAAACCAAGAACGCGGACCAGGAACATGGAAATTTAATAACAGCCTTCTTACAGACAAAGAATATATAAAGATAGTAAAAAAATGTATACGAGACGTTGTAGACCAGTACAAAGTCAATGGAACCGGCGATGTAGAAAAAGTTGAGTATAGTATAGACGATCAGCTCCTATGGGAAACACTGAAGCTAATGATCAGGGGAGAAACAATAAAATACTCGGCCTACAAAAAGAAAGAACGTAATAATCAAGAAAAAGTAATAGAAAACCGATTAAAACAACTTTTTGAACATCCGGACTATGATAGTGTAAGAGACGAAATCGGTAGATTAGAAATGTTACTGAAAGAACTTAGAGAAAAGAAGATAAAGGGTATAATTATTAGAACAAAATCCAGATGGAAAGTGGAAGGAGAAAAAAGTAGTAGATATATACTTCTGCAATTTAGAAAAGAGAAATTATACCGAAAAAACTATTGCAAAATTAGTCAAAGCTGATAAGACAGAAGTGACAAAATTGAATTATATTATTAAGGAACAAAAAAGATACTATGAAAGCCTCTATTCTTCAGATAAAACGGAACTCACTGAAGTGCACAGACAGATATTTATGAGAAATGACAATCCCCATATTAATAAATTAACAGATGAGGAACGCGACTATATGGAGAAAGAAATTACTACGCTAGAATGTCATAATGCTTTAAAAAAACATGAAGAATGGCCGATCGCCTGGTATCGACGGATACACAGTGGAATTCTATAAATTCTTTTGGTCCGACTTGAAACAATTTATTGTACGCTCATTCAACGTTTCGTTCATTAGACAATGTATGTCAATAAGCCAGAGGCAAGGACTTATAACTTGTCTCCCTAAGGCGGGCAAAGATAAAAACTACTTAAATAACTGGAGACCAATCTCCCTGCTAAATGTCGACTATAAAATTGCCTCAGCTTGCATTGCAAACCGTATGAAACTTTTTTTGAAAAAACTGATAAGTGACACACAGCTTGGGTTTGTAAAAGGCCGATTCATGGGTGAATGCACCAGACTGGTATATGATTTAATAGAAAGAACAGAAAATGAACAAATTCCCGGATTAATACTTCTCCTTGATTACGAAAAAGCATTTGATTCCTTAGAATGGAACAGTGGGTTAAAACCTTATACACTGATATCTCCTCTACAATACAAAATAACGGCCATCTTTCGGAGTTCTTTATGGTAAAAAGGGGTGTACGACAGGGAGACCCCCTGTCCCCATATCTTTTTATTCTTTGTTTAGAAATTTTCTCGGCCGCAGTTAAGACTGACCCTGACGTAAATGGAATTAATATAAACAATACGGAGTTTCTTATTACGTCTTATGCGGATGATACAACTCTTATACTGGGAGACGACGAGTTCTCCTTGAACAGGGTCCTCTATTTAATCACTGCATTCTCTGAATGTTCGGGCCTGAGAGCCAATCTCGAAAAAACAGAAGCAATATGGATTGGGGCCAAGAGAGGATGTTACGAAAAAATCAAAACTGAAAAAGAAATAAAATGGAATCATGAAGGTGCATTTAAGTTGC